ATGTATTCGCAGATGACCTAAAAATAGATCATTCAATATCTCCTGCGTTGATTACAATCATCTAGAACAGGGCTTGAATAGACCTGAGCATTCGGTATCACGAAATAGACTACCCTTCAGTATACAAACACACTTGTTTCACATATGATACGAAAAACGTTGTACATTTCTTTATAGAACGTGTATCTGATTCTCCAAGATGCATCAATAAGAAATAGTATGAAATAGCCTAAAACTGTGCAGGTTGAATCAGATCTCACATGATACTGTTTATTGACTTAGCCTATTTTCTCGCTCGTACAAACAAGTACACTTTAATCCTCGATAGTTCTCGTTGGTAAATAATAAAAGTAGTTGATAATGAAAATAACTGTGGCAGGGAGAGGAGGCTTTCGGATCCGTTTCCATTTCTATGGGAAAGTTGGCTTATGAAATTGTAATGTCCGTATCCAAGAAAGTTTGCTCCGTAGGACAGAAACGGATTCGTACCTATGTAACGTAGGTATATCGGATTCTCTGTGCTGAGAGGCGGGGCATCATCCAACCTCGGCTAGATATCAGGTGCGCCGAAACGGTAGCGAAACCAGGTCAGAAGAGGGACGACCGACTAAATTAGAACAACCGCGAAAAATGATTCACGTTCCTCTCTCACTCTGTTTCTTATTCGGTTATAATAACGCGTCCAATTATCGCGTATTTCTCACGGTTGCATCTTCGCTCTGTTTATACTGTTATCAAATTATTTTCATATCGAACACTCGAGTTTGCTCGTAGTTTTAGTTTGCTTTTACTGTAAACTTAACTGAGAGTAACTAACGAGGTGGAACATTTTGTATCTGTTTCGTACGTTTACAATAATACAGGATATTTTTATACTCGCACTTTCGTTTTCGCAAATTTTATTATAAACGTTTTATACGAAGATTAATTGACGAGACGTAGGAATAATATTTGGTTATCGATCTTAAGAAAACATGAATAAACTCGAAGGCGTGAATTAAGTTAAGGGACGATGAAAAGCGTGACGGTTCGGTGGATACGTTCGTCGGGAGCGAAGGTCGACCCTAAAGCTTTGGCTGACAGCCAACAACCGGCGGCGCGCCATGCCAGCTTCTCTAAGGGGAAATAAATTCACGGGCAGCCCGTGCCTTCGTTTTCAGCTGTTCCTGACACCGACGCGAACCGTGCCACACGGTCTCTCCTCTCCTCCCCCCCTCGTCCAACCGATTTAATTGAATTCGATCCGATCGGCCATTCTTCTTCGTTCCCCCCTGCCACGACGTTGCACTTTGCCTTAGGTCCGAGTCACTTATTCTTTGTCTTCGTCTCGAGGACGCTATTTTAGTAACGCTCTTCTCTTTGTCTCACGATTCCTTTTTCTTTGCACTACGTCACGTCTCTCCTCGCTCGTCTCGTCAATCATCGAGAATTTATTAATTAAGAAATTGCATTAATTTTTTTGCATATAATTTGCGCATAATTTAATTAATATTTTTCAATATAATTTGCGCATAATTTAATTGCATATAATTATATAAGCCAGACGTGTATTCGTGTTTGAATATATTTGACGTGGAATTATTTACTGATCTTTTCAAGAATTCCCGGATTTTATTAGAAACCCGGGAGGGATCGGGTTTCTGCACACAAAGACGCCGCGGGAAGCCTTGGAAATTGCGTACCCGATGATCAACGGATTAGCGATCTCCTTTCACGTCGATCAAACCCCCTCCCCTTCTTTGCAACGAGCATATTTTCCGAACTTTCGATTCAACGAACGTCCCTCGAGTACCATAGAAATTGCGCGACGAAATAATTATCGGTTTTTTTAATTGAGAAAATCGCGGATGACCACCGTGGCAATTTGCTCTTTAATCGCTACGGCCGGAAAAATGTTTATTAACCGGGGAAAATTGCGAGCTCTTTAATGACCGTTCACGCAACCAATCGGTTTTAATCTTTGAATAAAAAATTACGCGAACCGGTCGCTTTGACGCGGCATTCAAACTTTAATTGCTCGTGTAGGATCATTATAATTTTAATCTTCTCGTACGAAATTCTCTTTATAATTCCTTGTGAAAAAGTATTCAGAACATTTAGGGGATGAACGTGTTTATACAACAGAATTTTCATACATTCTATTTCTCGTATGATTCACTATGATTGCACCACTTGGTCCGTGCGGTACAAGAGGGTGCGACACAGATGAGCACGCGTCTGTACGTGAATTAAAAGAAACATGAGTAGATGGTTGGTGGTTGATTAACGCGGCGCACGTGCGACTGCAGATTTCGTCAAGGAAAGAGGAGGCCTTACATTACAACGTAACCCTGAACTCGCCGGTACATCGATCTACCGCAATGCAACGGGGCCGGAGAAAGCTAAGCCGAGAGAGAAAGAGAGAGAGAGAGAGAGAGAGGGAAATGAGAATCTCTAGTAACTAATAAAGCGTCTTGTGTACGAAAAGAATTTGGAGAAACGTAAGNATTATTAGCAATGTTCTTCCGACGTCTGATTTCTTTTTAAAAAATGCGTTTCTAAAGTGTACAAACTTTTGGGATTGACTATATAGCCAATACATCCTTAATCTACGCACCTAATATTTTTAATGGAACTCAAAATGAAACCGAAGGACTAAGAAATACTATTCTAGATGAGAAGACCTCTGTAGAGAATCCTTCGAGCAAAATAAAATAGAGAAACGCTTATAAAAACAGTGAATTACAATAACATTATTTTCATTAGAAACAGATTACGCGGAGGAGCGAAGTAGTTAAAGGGAAATGGGAAGCACGTTCCGCTTCGTTGGTATAACGGGAGAAGCCTTGGCAGGCGCCGCGTCCAAGAGATTATCCTTCGTTCCAACGCAACGATTTCACAATTATCCTCTGACAACCAATGGGAAGGGTACATCGAGAAAATTCGAAAAGCACACGATAACGGCAAGGAAAAGCGTCTCGTTACTCGGTTCAAAGAAATCAACAGTCCTGTTAATCGTATTCCTGTCCCCATTTCACAGACCTTCGCATAATGTCCGACGAATAAATAATGAATCTGTAACAACACCGAACGTAATAATTACACTGCAAATTTAATGCATTTGTGACAAAATTGAATAAGCAGAGATGATAAATGATACGATTCATGCATGGAACTATTCATACGTTTAAAGGGTGAAAGAAGTCCTTGTTGAAAATGTTCTCTTTTATGTAAAAGTAGTCCGGCTGTGATAAATAGATACCAACGACGTGGGTCATGAAATTAGAGACGAATATGCAAATTGTTGATGAGAAAAAGATGCCAAAACTAAATATTAGAATATTAGAAATTATGCATTAAGAATTGCTTATGACTGAGAAAAACAATTTTATAAATCCTCTGCAATTATCATTTTTGCTAAAAGTTCATTGCTTCAAATATTGGACACAGTTTTTTACTACACGTCTTAAACTTTTGGCAGAGATCTTACAATTCATACAGCCTTAGATTATATCGAGAACTATTCACTATCCAGGTATACGTCGTCGGACGTTCATCCGCGTATTACGCGAGACTCGTTCTTGTTAATTGGCTGGCTGCTGCAGTTTCTACGATTATATCAACCGTTGCCGGTTGCTATTCGTGCTGTTTACGCGAAGACGCCCTAACCGACGTTTCTCTCGCCGCTAATTAATTGCATTCACCGCGGTTATCATCCCGTCTGTCTGCTCGCGAAAGGAACGCGATTGCTTAACGAGTTAATCGTCGACCATTCTTCGAATGATCGATGACAGAAATTATAGAAACGTCAAACGTTTCATCATAACATACATACAGGAATCAGCCGTCTGTTTTAATAAATGAATACAACAAAGCGTTTATAAATTATAATATTCCTTTGAATGATTCATGATGAATTCAAATTATCAAATAATAAATTATTTTCACGATGTATGAACCGCGTTTTTGTTTCAATGCATGAATAAAATAAATCATTTATAAACAAATCATTTATATCGTCCTTTGAATGATTGACGACAACCAATTTTGACGAAACTCACAGAGTTAACTACTAACTCACTTAGACCTACAAGAAACAAGTTTCCAATTTTTATTGGAAACCCGAATAAAAAACTTGAACGTCGCCTCGTTTACTTCGTAGCGAATTAGACTTTGCAACTTCTATAGAGAATCACCTTGTCTGGTCCACTATTACAAAAGTTATTCTAGTTTGTAATGTCCCCGGATATTAACAGGACGTGTCCGTACAATGGCACCTGAAATCATGTATGAATAAGATAATTTGCGAGTGAAATAACGGAGCGTAATTTGTTTTTGCTGAGCAGAGTTCAAGGTGGAAAATCGTGGTTCAATTAGGTTTCGTAACGCGTGAATTTGTGGGGGTTGGCGAGGGGTTTCTTGGTTTTTCACTGTTGAGAACTGAGCGACCGGGTCAAGTACGAGTACGCGCGTGGTCTGACCGCACGCTGGCCTCCTGCCTCTCGTTGCTGAATTAAACATCTGGCCGGATTCGTGCATGCTCGACACACACACACACACGTATACTACATCTAACCCGCCCCTGGAATCGGCCGCGTAACCAGGAAATCGTTACAACCTTGCTCGCGCTGGTTGCGAATTATCGCGGCGGGTCGCACGTTCTCCGACGGGGAGGAATACGTTTTTTTTTCAAACTCATTGAAATCTTCTAACGAGGAACGTGACGCTTCGAGATGGAACTCGTTAAACGAATTAATTCGCGCGGACGGGCCGCTCTACGAAGCATAGAACTCGAAAACCGGGCCACGAGTGGCTTCCACTTTCACTGGGAACGCTATTACGCGTGTGGCTAAAGCGAATACGTAAATGGGAGATTAATCATTGTCGAGTGAACAAAGGAAAGAGGAGCCTTTACTTATCGAATAAAACCTACACTTATCGTCATTGTGTATCAACATTGCGCATTATTAATTAGCCCCAATTCGAATCTCTCATTCACAAACTCAGCGTTTGATAAATCTAATACATTTTAAAAAGACGACATTCACTATTATTAGGAATGTAGATAAAAAATTAATCTAGTATCCAGGAAGATCCAATTTAAATTCCTCTAATTTATAAAATGATATAAAAATCTATTAACCACCGAAGGAAGTTTCAAAAGGAAATTCCTGTCTTAAGACTAAATCCTGCGACTCGCAGTAAAACTAATAAAAAAGTAGAACTAGTTTAATACCGCATTGGCGAGTTGATAAATCGCGTAAGCCTATATAAAGCGTGGAATCGATAGACAAGTATGTATTGTAAAATGTTCATTGGAATTTTGTAAATTGATCTTCAGTGGTGGCGGCGATAAGTCCTCGGTTGGTGCTTTTAGCCCCGTTAGCGTCCGCATGTGTACGCGGCACGCGATTGTTCCGGTTTCCCATTGATATTCATGCACCGAGCGAGCGTTTCGCTATTTTTCCCGCTCGCATTTTTTTCTTCCTATCTCTCTCTCCTCTCCTCTCGACTATCAAACGCCGTCCACTGATTACTAGGCATATCCCGTTTTAATCGATCCGATGCGCCACGCTGTTTTAAACACCGCCTCGGGTATCAATGGTACCAAAGCGTTTTACCCTTTATTTTTAACCGGTTACCTTGTACGTAAGACTCGGTGACAGAAATTAATAAACAACCGACTATACTCGCGTACGGTTCTTCTATCTCAATTCTTCTGGTTTATATAAAAAGAAACAACAGAGTATCAATGGTACTGGATTTACTTCTTCTACGTAGAATTTGATAAAAATTGATAATATTCTATCTTAATTTTGTCAGTTCGTATAAAAAAGATTTCGTGCTCGGTTTGTATTACCAAGAAAAAACAGCTGATCGAGTAGGTAAAAAAGGACTTGGCGTGTGCGAAGACATTTTTATCCTTCGTATGCTCACAGCGAATGGACTAACGCTACTGGTTTGGTCGATCGGTCACGGAGACGTGTTTAATGTCACTGGCAGAGAACGTCCGCGGTGATCCCGCGACCGATCGTGCGAGTGACATTTCACTCCGGACGTTTCCATTCCGAAATACAAATGAATAAACAGTAAAATCATTTTAGAGAATAAAACTAGTCTATCGACCATGTTCAGAGATAGAAGATCCAGTGAAATTTTTATACCATGCTGAATTTATATAAAAGGGCGAGAAGATATATACGATTATCCGTCAGCTGATTATACTGGTGTTGATTATTTGAGGATTTCATGAATGTAACGTCGCCCGTCCGTCGCCCCAAGTGTGACCGGCTCCTGGAACGAGCGACGGTATACCCTCGCCGCGGCGTTCTCAGAAATAAAGCAACGTCAATGGAGACAAGAGGAGGCTATAAGAAAACGAGAGAACAGGCTCTCTCTCTCTTTCTGTATTCTGTTTACTATTGTTCTAAAAGTAGACATCGTTCAAGGAAATCGTATACATATTTCTTTTTAGAAATCTATGTACAAATACTAAATACCACGTTAGCACATTGTCAACTGTTGCAATTGATCCGACGACCTATTATAAATTAAATAGATCACACTGAAGTTCAGTAGTAATAGCTCCCTGTGTTCTCTGTTTTAAACACCTTTGCTCAAATATTGAACAAGTTTAAGTAATGCATTAAGAGGAACGAGGGTACATACGTATGTACATACATATAAATCAGGTGCTTACCTCGCCGCGTTTACCCCGTCGTCGCGATCACCCAGCTCCGCGTCCACGGCACAGAAATCACAGTTCACGGGGTCGTGTGTCTAGAGGTAAACTAATCCAGGACGATCATCGGACCACCGGAGCAGCGAGCACACTCTGCGCCAGCTGTAGCAGCAGGGAAACGCGGACGACGATGGATCGCTCGTTGAACCAGGTGCACTGACTGCCAAACGCGGCTATCTACGAGTCGCGCGACATGGCCCCCCGGCACTAGGTCCCCTGGCTCTTCTTCTTCTTCACCATTCAGGTCCAAGCGTAACGAGTTCTGATCTGGCTCGAACCAGGCCGACGAAAATGATATGTTTCGTTGATCGGTGGGATCCTTGCCCCGAGATTCGACCGCTTCCTCCTTAGGTTTCGGTCTTTTTTTTTCACGTTCCAAGGGTGAGAACTTATCGGTCGATCTTCTAAACTAAAATTCCGGCACGACACACGACGACGACGACGACGACGACGACGACGACTCCTCGACTCTCTCGCTCTCGCGCTCGCGCTCACACACGGCTCCCGGTGCTACTTGGCCAGAGTCACATTTTAGTGCGACACACACGGGTAGCGGGTACGCGCCGTGGGGCTACGCTCTCTCTCGGCTTGCCTCCGTCTCTGTCCGCTCCCTGGCCGGATCCTCCGAACCGCCCTTATGATCCCCGACCTCCCACCATCCTCCATCTCCCACTGTTCCACCCTCGAACCCCTAACCGATGCCACACCGAAGGGGTGGTTCTCGGGGTAGCGACAGCTACCGGCTGCTCTAGTTATTCCATTGTTCCAGTGGTCGTAAGTCGATCCCCTGATCACAGGTTCATCCAATCCCACTGGCCATTTTCGAGTCTCCTAAAAGAAAAAAAAGAGAGAGAACGTCAGAACAGATTAGATTTACAAAAGATCAGTTCGAGGAACATTTAATATCACAGAACATGATTTTATACTTGGAAACAGGTGTTTAATTAAATGTTATCAACGTGAATAGAGAATGAAACGCGAGAGGGTGGACTTAAATCTATCGCTAATACCCCTGAAACGCCCCCGCGTTGCTCTGTCACGGTTCCCCTCCGCGGGCCAATAAAATCCGGTGGTGTACGATCACCGGGAGCACCCTGTCCCCTCGGACGTTCGACAAATTTCCACCGCAAATAGCCAGCAATCTGTGAAGATTAGAAACGTTTTTGATGCTGGGAAGAGATCAATATCGAGAACCCGCGACCGCCTACAACCCTTGATATTCGCCTGTTGTTAAACCTTAGACATCTTTGTCTGGATTTAATTAATTAAGAAGTGAGGATAAATCCCCTTGATAAGAAGGAAGAACAAGTTTCTGTTCGCTCGAACGAATAACCGCGAGAAAGACGGAGCGTTTATTTGCATTGCCAAACGGGCAACTGTAGCGAAACTGTCGCTTTGGAAGTTAGTCGACGCGGTTGCCGGCGGTAGTCGCCCACCCTTAGGCCAAGAGCAGTTTACTCCTGGCCCAAAATTCGCCCCCGTACCCTCGCACGATTATCGATTGGCCAAAGTTCCAGGGCGAAGCGTCAAACCGCTTGAAATATTCAGTCGAGATTCCTGCCCGGCTTTCGAGGAAGAGTGATTGTCCTACGGGTAATTAAATTCCAGCGACGTGTCGGGGAACGCAACTGGTAACACGTTTGAATAACGTGGCCGTCGAGTCGACTTTGAACAATGCCAGATCGAAGTACAACGACACAAATTCATTGGGTAAGGATATTCTTAAACGTGGAGAATCGAGACTGTATGTAAATACAGTGGAGCCTTAAAATGATACGCGTCTGCGCTACCCCTACGAAGAGGATTGCTTGTCCCCTTCGTCGAACTACCCCTGCCATATCGCGGCTTCGAAAGCACCCCCGGCTCAATGGTCTACTGTACGCAGACGTGCTATCCGGATATCCATGTCTATCTATGTAGACCGTGTCTGCTTTTCTGCCGCTGCGCTGGTTGAATGGACAGGCCTTGTTTTGATCCGTAACCCCGATCTTGTTATAGATCGCAAAATATACACCTACTCTGTATTGTTGTACCAAAAATGCATAGAGCGGTCGTTCTATATTTCCCAAACGTCTGCAAAATAAATAAAGACTAGAAGAAGAATCTTTTTTCTGGGACAACGCAATGTCTCGTTTAATACGCTCGTTTAAGGAAATTTAGTTTAGGTATTTGTTTTTCGAGGGTATACGCAAGGGAAGATGCGAGAGCAGCGCGCGATCGATAGATTTCGCTGTGGTAATTATAGTAAACGCGTTGAATTATTCCTGCCTGGAGGCTCCTAAGTCGAGCACCTCGAGAACTATGCGAGGAGGACGAAACAACGTAGCCGTCCCGTTCCGTGCCAGCTTTCACCCTTAACGCGACGTTCCCCACAGTGCCGTACTCGTAAAGAAAACGAGGCTTGGACCAATCAGAGCCGCTGGCCCGATAAGGGAAACCCTCTATAAAAACGATGATCGTTGTATCCTTGAATCAAGAGCAACAGATAAAACCGCGGCCATCGTCCTGGTCCAGCGATAAAAGGAAATGAAATTGTTCAAGGGTGATCAAACACACGCTTGAGACTAACTTCTAGTTTATCAACCAAGTTACTCTGTCAGGGATACGGTTGATCAATTGGAGAACTTGGAACAAGAACAACCGCAGATAACTTGACCTTTTGTTGAACAGTACAAATTACGATGGAACGTATAAACGGCAGTCGAATTTCACGTGCAATTTCATGCTACCAGCAATGGTACTCTGAGAGATATATTCTGACTGTTGCGCTGAACATTGAAGTAGAAGATCAAGACACTTTGCTTCGCATGTGTTTATGGCAACAGTCACAAAAATCTCGAGACTCTATTGCACTGTGAGAACTAAGAATTCCTGTCTTGCTATTATGACTGACAATCGGGTTGATCGTTTCTTGCTTCGAGCTCTTCAATTAAATCAAATTCAATTGGAACATGTTGCGATCGTGGTTTTGGTTTCACGAAACCTGCATTGGTTTCAATTATCATGAACCACAAACCGTGAAACATTCGAGTTTCATGTATTGTGAATAATAAATTAGTATATTAATTATACAAACTGAACCTGCCTAATTTCTATTTCTGTTACCTCACCTGAAAGAATTATAAAATATAGAATTGTGGTTTCTGCATTAATGTTCGGATTCACTGATAACTGCTGATAATGAAGTACATACATTAAACTTCAGAATCGATGCATAGAACGTTTACAGAACCCTGTACAGACCAGATATAACTACACCCCTGATTCCACCCCTATTCGTACCCCTCCACAAATGCTGTCCACCCTACTACGAAAGGATTCTCCTATTGACGTTCCACCCTCTCGACGCCCCCCTGACGTCCTTTCTAGCACACCCACGCGTACTATCCCTTTTGCGTGCCATGGTTCACGTTCTGACGTAGCGGTATTACGTCAGGACGACCTCGTACGCCGACGCGTCCCACGATTTTCCAATACGACTTACAACTCTCACTCTTTCAAACCGAAAATAACCCTGTCCACTGAACCATCGCATTCGCTTTCGAAACTATTGTCTACGCCTGTATCTCCGTTCATAAAAGCTCACACGTTGATTGAAGCTTTGATTAAGCATCGTTGATAGAATTTTAAGCTTCAATTCAGCGGAATTTATCGCTTACAATTCTCATACCTAACTCTTTTAAACCAAAAATAATCCTGCCCACGTAATCGTATCCGCTTTTGAAATTATTTTCTACTCCTGTGTCTCCATTTTTGAAAACCCCCACATAAATTAAGAGTCAATGATAGAGTTTTAAGAAAACGCAATTGCGCAAAATGTTCGGCTTTGCATAAGGTTAATACGCATTTTACTCGAAACAAGAAGCTTGCATATTCTTGCAGTAATTTAAGATTGTATATTGATTGTAGTACTTACAGTTCGTCGAAAATCGAAGAACAAGACACTAGCACATGAACATTCTTGAAAAATCTTTAAAAACTGTGAAGAAACACTGGACTGACTCGACGCCGGACGTTACGAATTCGAACTGCGTGACTAACTTCACGCGATATACTGCAACACTCTCGATGCAGCGCCTACAACGCCATCTAGCGCCAATTTGATTCGATAGCGGACGATGTTTCCGATGAATTTAATATAAATATAGATTTAAGTATTTTGAATAATACTCAAGCTAACAGCTCATTTTACGACAATAATTTTATGTAAAATGAGATAAATATACTGTATTTAGTTCCGCGGCATTTTTAAATTCTTAAAACTCCTCAAATTAAATGTTGAAAAATGTCTAACCTCAACTGACTGGATTGTTCAATTGAAGAAACATGTTTCGTGCGGCGATAAATAAAAGACTGATTTGTGCTGCGTTTTTTCCGTTCAGTTCCTCGAACGGGAATTCGGATATATCCACCTTACAGATTTACTATGACAAGACGAAGGACTTCCTGATAAAAGAGTAACCTACATTCATCATTGCTACATTTTTAATTGTAGAATTTAGATAGAATTTCTATAAAAATCATCATCTATTTCTTAAACAAATATTTTAACAGAAACGGAAGTCTGACAAATGAGGCACAATCTGTGGTGAACACAACAGTGGCTGGAGTTGGAATAGGATTTGCCTTAGGGGGATTGTCTAAGGCAAAAAGTTTCCCAGCTGCTCACAAAGCAGCGAACCAAGCAACTCTGTACAATCACAAATTCGATGCAGCAAAAGAAATGAGTAATAAAATGGCTCTGCAAGTTATAAAGGGTGGTCTTCCATATGGCTTGAAGCTTGGCTTCTTCTGTTTCATGTTCTCGTGAGTCAATGGACTATTTCTTTCCACGTTGGAATAATTATTCTGTGACTAATTCCATTTTCATTTACAGAGGCATATCTACATTCTTGTATGCGTATAGAGGGACATTTGATGTACTTAATGGTACACTTAGTGGAGCTATAACAGGAGCTATATATAAGATAAACATGGGATTGAAGGGATCGATCGCAGGTTGCGTTGTAGGCTCGATGTTAGGTTGCTTATATGGCACCGTCACGTCTATCATATTATACGTAACCGGTGTGGATATGCAGGATCTGTACGAATCCAGCGGGAAATTCATGGCAGCAAGACGAGAGTATGTTTCTATCAGCGTCGAATTCTCAAATACTTGAAACTATCTTAACTGGATCTTGGGTTTTAGGAAAATAAGACAGAATTCGATAGAGTTTAGAAAAGAGGAAGACTCGCAATTGAGGGCATGGTACGAGCAGAATAAAAAGTTACAATCGGAGGAAGTAAAGCAAGAAGCGAAAGCTTGAGACACTCCGAGTTCAACGACAAACTGATATGTTTTTCAACATAATTTGTCTATTAATTCGCGTGACTACCCTGTAATTACCACGTAACACGTTGTGTAATAATGTTTGTACAGACACTAGGCGCATACAATAAGAGTCATTGTATATTTATCTAGATATTTAACTTGAATAAATAGAAACATCATCCTGTAACGCATATTGTCATTATAAACAATCCTTATTTACATCCTGATTAATACTTCGTGTGGCAAATACCCATAAAGCGATCATTCGAAAAATTGAAAAATCGTAGTTACAGAATAGGCCTGATATATACGAAAAGGAAAACAGTTCACTCAATCTTCTCTGTGATGTAAAGGAAACTAAATGTACACACGTATATAAACGGTTTCCAAACGATAAAGAGTATAATACTATGTAACGAGGAATAAAAGCGAAAATAAAACTCACACTCGACAAAAGAGGAACGGAAGCGTGTACGTGTGTGGATAGGTGGGTGCGCACTTATACGTATGCATTTTGTTGGATCAACAAGTTTGAAAAATATATGTACATATATTTTCTTAGATCTCTTGATCCGAAGTTCCTAAATCTTGGACCTTGGTCAAACGTTTTGCCCCTCTGCCTGGTGGACCCTTAGGTTTCGCGAATTTTGGCTGATGCAAACTGATTTTCGGGTGCAACTCCTCTTGCAAAAACTCTTCGTTTAGTTCCCTTCCGTCATCTATCTCAAGCTAAATGAACCAACACAGTTGAAACAAACGGGGAATTATTACATTGCATTAGAAACGAGTGAGGAGGAGGAATGAAATGAAAGAGTCGAGAACAAAACAGAAGAAATCTAAACGTCGCAGGCCTATTCTGTAAGCTGAACGCGTATTAAACGTATCTTAAATACATTAATTGTAATTACATACCCAGTCTGATTCACCGTGACCTCCTTAGAGACCTATTGAACTCTAGAAACATCGTACGTTACATCTTCCCGTCGACGATTGAACACACAGACAGAAGCTGTAGGATTATAATCGCATAATGCTTTATTTGTAGCGTATTTAGTATTGGCAAGATATACAATTTCGCTTTATTTCGTTTGTAACGGGTCTACAATTATTCGCTAACAGATTGGAAACGAAATTACACTAAAAATAGAAGAGAAAACTTACAGAATAGGCCTGGTACAATATCACTGTAAATTGAAATACGCCCAGGCTGTAATAGTGTAATATGTGCGTGCGCGTTATATCTAAATATGGAACACATTTCTCATTAATAATTTTTTCGTTCCCTTTTGAGCACTTTGCGAAAAGCTTTTCCTCTTTCTTCCTCGTAGCTATACATATATGTATATATATATAGAAACGTGTGCCAAATTCTATATCCGCTTTCCTACACGTAAAAATAGAAGACTAAGGAGGAACTTAAGCCGGAATAGTTTTTGCAAAACTATACGAAAAATAAAAGGATAAATTACGAGTATATCCAAAGATATGAGAACTCATTTAAGGATGTGATACATCCTTAAAAAAACAAAAACAAAAAACAATAGCGACGACGAGGTACGATAAATCATGAGCTACTCATCGACGAAATAGTACGACTTGTTTTTCCTTTCCGTTTTTGATCGACGGATGAACTGTTAAGAATTTGGCGCACTTCGCATTTATCCATGTTAAAATTAGGCCAAACTCTTCTCGACAAGTTTGCTTGCTTTTGCGTCTTGGACGAAAATTTTTAAAAAGTTTTATAAAAAGCTACGAGAGTTTTTAAAAAAATACAGATCACGAAAAATAGAATGCCTCTCGAATATCTGCTGTCTGCTGTCTATTTAGATTACAGTCCCATTCGCTATACAGTTTGTACGAGGAATGTTTCGGAAGGGGATAGATAAACTTATCACAATTAACGCTAGCAAAATATTCATCGATCGGAATCGTTAACACGACGACCACTTATATAACTCCTTATCGGTTTACGTATTTAAAGTAACGGAATATCGATGAAACAATCAGCAACTTGTATGGAAGATACTTTGAAAACATTTCTAATTGTATAAATTTGAACACTGAATAGCTTCTCCTTTTTGTCGATTATACAGCCAATGGGACATACCAAGATCAGTCTTCGTACATTATATTTGTGGAATCTAATGTTTTGTATCATTTACAGTAGTACGTTGTACGTAGTAGAACATTATATATATATTTTCTTATATATATAATATATATATATATAATTTAATATTAATAAAGTAACTAGTATCATCACTAGCTTGTGTTCAAAAAATGATAATTGTGCAAAGAAAATATAGCCACGACAATCGGTTGTCGCGATTTTGCACGTTTTTATCACTCGCGGTCCTGCTCGCTCTTTCTCTCTCTCTCTCTCTCTCGCTCTCGCTCTCTCTTTCTATATCTTCTTATTTATAATATAATCATTACGCAGGGAAGTTGAGTGGCGTCAGCTAACTAGAGCACATGGAATTTTCCTTAACTCTCTAATAAATCACATAAGTTATGCATTTACGTTTTTCTTTTACCACAGATATTTTGTTTGAAAACGCTCTACCTCTATTATTTATCACTAATCCCTATACAAGACAATTTGAATGAATTTGAAAGTCAAGCCTTCGTTTCAACGTATCGTAAAAAGGAAAAAGAGGAAAACTTAAGACGTAAGATATCACTTCTCAATGGACTAGGAACTAATTCTCACAGTCGGCTCACTGGGTTTTCTTTTAAACATTACGTATAACGTAGGAATTATTATACAAACTATGAAACGAGTAAAGTACAAAGGAACTTACACAGAGCTGGGTACAATGCGTTTAGATTGATTAAAAAAAAAAAAGTATAAAGAAAAGGGATATGGAAATGCTATGGAAGGCTTCACTTTCAATGCCAAGCAACTGAATCTCATGATTTGTTCATTCCTTATAGTAATTCTCTGTAATAAACGATTGCAGTGTGGCTTAGTGGATCAACAAGAACTGGCATTTGTTTGCGTTATCAAAAGACGACCTCGAGACGAAAATTTTGCCTCTCTTAAAATTTAGAAAAATACATCGTTTGGTCTACTCTGCGTCGCTACGTAGATACACGTATCACCACCGACCAATTATTATTATTATTATTATTATTATTAGTGCTAAATATCAATAAATATATCGGTAATCGATTAAAAAAATCCTCTCTGATCAAGGCGCGCTTTAAACTCTTTCATCACCTTCGACAACAACTAACGATATCGTGGGATTTCAAGAATTCTGACTTAACGAAAAACCGATTACACCGCATTTACACTAAACGACACATCATCGAGCAATAATATCGCGTTTATCACAAAATCTCAGAATTCGCGAAGGGAAGATATCGAATTCAATTCAGTATGTAAAACACGTGGAAATATATATATATATATATTTCGTAACACGTAAGAAACGTTAATGGGCATGGAGGCAATGGTCGAGCGTTGGTTCGGTTAACTCAACACGCAAGATCTCTTCTGCTTTGACTTTTTCTCGGTAATAGATTGAGGAGGAGCATAGGGCGTCGACGGAGTTGCGGGAGTAATCGCGGCTGGTTCTTTTATCGTTGGAGGATCTTCCAGCATGTCTGGCAGCTCCTCGCCGCTATTTACTTCCAACTAGGATTCATCGTCAAATTTTTTTTTTTTTACATTCGAAACAAAAAAAAAGAAAAAGAAACGCTTTATTTGAATGTTAATTCACAAGAAAAAGGAGTGAAATCTAGAAGCGAAAAAATACTGCGAAACGAAATACTAAAATCAGCGACTTTGGAAAGAATAAAACAACGGTTAAGAAAGCGTATAGATTCTAATACGATTTACCGGTTTTAAACTGATCCTGTGTTAAGACATTCATGCAGAAACAAAGACAATGAAAACCAAGTAAATTAGAAGTATAACGTGGTCCATTGCCGAATAACTATTATATCAGTCTACTTACTTTTTTCGTTATGGTCACGCCGTGCGATTGAATTAGTTCTAATAAAGGCGCCTTGCACGAGGAGTACAGCATCCTTTCCTTAATACTGCAACTGTATCCTGGCATGCTGTAGATGAAAACTGCAACACCGTAAATAGACATTATTGATCGCGGCCTTGACCAGTATTATTTTTATCACTTACATACCTATATGCTCCATGTAATCTCCTTCGTGCGTGTGTTTAAAATTATAGAGATGGTATCTGGCAGAGTCCGACGGGACTTTCGTTGGTAGCTTGTCCAGGGAAACGTCGCAAGCCATAACTAGGTGGATCTTCTCTTCTTCTAAATCGATTTTCAACTGTACATATTCGTGTATACCTTTTCCGAGCTCCGTGATCGCTTGTTTTGCCTCGTCGGTCAGAGGGAAAGCGACGCCGCTCAGTGTCTGGTGTCTCGTTTCTACGCTGTAGTCTGTAGTCACCGTACTCTTCTTAAGCTCCGCTAATTCTTCTTCAGCAGTCGTTAAAGGTGCTGGGGCAGCATCGTTTCTCTTATATTTATGATAGCCCTCTAACGTTATATCCTCCGGTACCGTGCCGTGCAGTTCTTCCTTTATAGAGGCAGTGCCAAACTCTTGTTTCAATGTTGCCTTGGTCGATGCATACAACATCTTTTGTCTGACTGGTGCAGTGTCAGGAGACCAGGATATAAACAACCAGTCGTATCCAGAATCGGGGGACTTGCTATCCAGTCTGTATAGAATGTATGCCGGTTGATTCTCTATGATTAAAGGTTTGATCATCTTGTCGTAATCGTCTTGCCACTTGTTCGCTGGTTTCGACGAGGAAGCAGGTGTCAGTTCCTCTAATGAAATATAATATATATGCATAGTATATAATAGCAGGTGTCAGTAGGTTTAAAAGAATAAATATATACCGTGTGTACAAAGGAGAACGCTTACCGTTTTCGATGGAGACTTTCAATACTCGTATTTTCCCGTCCCGGCATTTGGCGAACAACTTTTTGAGCGCGTCGTTCGCTGAAACCAACAATTTCCTACGTCATTAAAAACGAACGAGGTTAAGCTCGTAGATAGATCTCTGAAAGATCAGACTACTGAGTAGAATAAGTTGTAACAGTAAAATGATAAACACCTTTGATTCCCGTTTGATGTGACATGATCCGTGAAGTGTAATCGGTCTGAAAGAATGGTAGAAAACTGGTTGCACTTCCCCCCGATCGAACGAACGATCCACCACCACAGGCGGAACGTGTAAATGACTAGAGGACTGGAGAGGAAACGGGAAAAAAATCGAACTGAATCCGAAATCAGGGGAAGCCACGGACACGATCTATTTCGTTGAAAACTGTTTCACCGTCTTCTTGGCAACAAGGGATCGCGCGTCACGCCAGTGAAACGCTGACGAACGATCTGTCAAGAACTGAACCCAGTTCCAGTTTATGATTTTTTTTACAGTAAAAAAGGGGTGGGGGTGTACGTAGAGAGAGAGAGGGACCACGAATAATTACGTTCCAATTATTATCGTACACGTAATAAACGTTCAATGCTCTTAATAAACGTTTCCTAAATTTAACACGAAATTCTTGCCCCTTCTTTATCTTGAATTAGATGTAACCACACATAGCCACAGATCTGAATCTAACGTCGACCTTTGAACCTTGTCTGTCAACACAACATCGGACACTCGAAAGAAGGTATTTCCTGAATCAAATTACGTGAAATTATGTGAACAACGATAATGCAAAGGAACGATGAATTAATCGTATTAAAAGTTTACTCTGTGCCATCGCGTTCGATGAAAAACGAACAGCGAAAGTTTCGAGGTTGAGGCTTCGGTCTAACCTGTACTCGTTAAAATGATTACAGAAAAATGGCAAGAAAACCGGATTTGGAATTGCGGGTAGCGTTCTGGCAGTTGCACGACAAAATGATCGACACTCAGCAGAAATTGAAGCTGGCGGATCTGCAGATCGACAAATTGAAGCGATCGAAACAGTTCGCTGAATTAACGATGAAGGAGGTCACCTCGTACCCGAAGAACACGAGGACGTACGAATCCGTCGGCAGGATGTTCCTCTTGGATAGTATGGAGAACATCAAAGCGAATCTCGATAAGCGGATGAAGACCGCTGACGAGAAGGTGAAGACCTTGGAGAACAACAAAGCGTACTTGCAACAGAACTTGAAAGAGTCCGAGAACAATATCAGGGAAATGATCCAACAGAAACAGAACAAAGAGGCGAAGAAATAGGTTCTATTAAAATTGCTTGAAACGATTTTATACTTTAGTTTCTCATCACTCATTTAATTCTATATGTCATGAATAAAATGATTGCTATTTTAATTTAACCATAGCTAATTGTATTTGTATTTACGATATTCTATTTATTATCTATGTGTTCACCAATAAAATCTTTTGCTACGAGTACGTCTGAAATCTGCTGAAACAACGTTGAGAAACATGGGGCAACAAGATCCGAGAAATATTTAATTCCTGTTTCTATTTCAAAGCGATATTTGTTGCCGGGATCAGAAAGATTGTGGAACCTACGAGGTTTAAAAAAAAGTTGTTCATAGTTGGTTCAGCGAAGCCGGTGTTTAATATGTTCGGAAAATCCTTGAGTCCCTGAAAAATATCGAACACTGAATAGTTTCTAATTATTAATTTATTCCAGCAGAATTAATACATACAACAAACGTGGTTCGACTTACTTCCTCAAGTTCTTTATACTCACAGATTCACTCGTTCTTCTTTTATTCATCCCCGACAAAATGCACAAACACACTGATTCTCACTGTCACTCACTCTCTCTCACTCTCAAAATTTCTTAACTACGATCCTAAATTACCCTTAAAAACTTATGTGCCAACGCAATCATTTGGCAGATCGGAAATCAAAAAATGCTGTTCTAGTGTGTCTCGAACCTGGGGTACAAAAAATTGAACTATCATTTACTCAATAGCTGTTGTCAATTAATTACATCCAGTACCATCGTCGATTGATTTTTCCTTTAAAACCTAATATAATGCATGGGGCGTGACGTGCTTTCCAGGTTTTCTTATACGAGAGTACTATATAATATGGTTGCGTGGGTGTGCTCTGGCATACGGTGCGGTAAAATGTAACTCGACATGTATGTATGCATTGTATGTATATACAAAGTATATTATCGAACGATCACGGTATTATCAAATTCGAACCTAAGTCCTAATGTTCGTGACTCATCTTCATTCCTTTCCTTCTGTTTTAAAATAAAACAATCGACCTCCATCGTCCTCCTCCCCCCACGGAGTTACGTATTATCGTGTGCTTTATATCATTAATAATATTTAAGTATCAAACAGACTTCATTTTGTGCCTCTGCCCTCCCCGACACGGTACTTACACGATACGTCTCTTAAAAAAAGAAATTTAAAACCGAGACCTTGACGATGCATTTTTAAATGTATCGGAAACCCACGTTAGCGTTTACGGAAATGAATTCTCCCGAATAGAGTAGGTGAACGTCAGTCTTAACTAAAATGATTGCCATTGTTCATCGCGTTTACGTGCAATGATGGTACGGCTTGTTTGTCGAAACTTTCGTTTGACGAGCATTGGTTCCATACAGCATTCGAATTGACACCCATCGTACCGAGGGGACACGTGTTTCGTTAGACTAATTAAGTCTTTCGATCGGGAAACTATTGTCACGAACAGAGAGGCTTTGCGAATAAATTATGTCGAGCGGATTCTTACACGTTTAAACTTCGTCGATTTTCACGTAAATCCTATGCTCGCCCCCTTTAAATAAGCTACGCTCCTTTATTTACGTTGCCTTTAAGTAAAACATTTCTTATCGTTAATACGATACGATAACACACACCACGGTCGATGAAGAAATTCTTTTCTATAAATCATACTCTTAATTAGCTTAAGAAAATAATTTACGCGAATCTTCTACAAGGACCGTGTAAGATGCACGAATAGAAAAACATGAAAACCTTGATGCTAAACGCCGAATGTACATGTAATAAATACAGGGAGTCGTAAATGTAATTCAGATGTAAGATACCTTTACGTGTTTATGCATATGCGTGTGTGTCTGTCTGCCTGTCTCGTTACCTCGTTAAAACCTTAGCGTCTCTTCTTTTAATGAAATTCAGCTAACAATCGTAATTTACCAAAAATAAAATACAGCGCACACAATCTTGTTATCCTGCGCCGTCACGAATTCCTGTTTGAGCCACACTACGTCAACTCTTCGCCGTTCAAGCTGGTAAACAGAAATTTAATTACAATTAAATTATATGAAACATCATTTGGATTTTGATGCGATCATCGAAGCGATCGCTCACCCGTGAATCCTTGCGGTGGTTGACCCGGCACTGAGTATTGTGGTCTGAAATTTCCGAAATTGGCGGCGCCGGCGAAGGTAGCAGGCAACTGACCACCGGAGAACCCAGCCGGGAATTGTTGTGCCAGCAACGCAGCTTGACCGGACTGGGAACTGCTTCCACCTGGCGCAGTGGCTGCCAGTCGGCTCAGTATCGACCTCTCTGACATCTGAAGTCTCTGAGCAACAGGTGGAATGCGAGCTAGAGTCGCTGGTAAACGGCTCACGTCTGATTTCATATCGGACAACAGTTCTTCCAGTTGATTCAGCACCTGATAAATTAAAGACAAAAGGTGTGAAAATAAATCAGACGTTGAGATGATCAAGAATGAATGATCTGATTGCTCCACGTACTTTGTGCAAGACAGCGTTCGCCGGTTTGTTGCCGGCGAGACTCTCTTTGCTAAGGTGTTGATGCGATTCCGCAAGGCACTCGACTTCGGCAAATCTTGCATTCAAGCTCATCGCAGGGTGGTTAGGGTCCTGCGTCAGGTTCAGGTACGCTGCTCGTCTCAACTGTTCCTCTATCACTAACGCCTGTTCCAACAGCTTGAACCGTCGAGCGAGGAACTTGTTCTTTATCTCCAAGAAGTTCCCCTTGCCGACGTCCATCTTGAAAGGTTCGTTTATGATCGCGAACCTGATGTCGTTTTGAATGTCTTGCCAACGGCCATAGCCGTGCGTGACTATACCGGCCAGCAGCCAGTAGTCGTGTCTCCGATGCCAGATCTCGTACTCGCGACCAGGCACCGCCGCTTTCTCCTCGTTCAGCCATAACGTGTGGAGTTCGGTAAAACCACCGTCGGCGATGTTGAACATGAACTTCCGTTTGGGCTTTACTACTTCGGAATCACAGTCCTTTACATCCTTATCTTTACTATCCTTCTCCTATAATAAGGATGATTAACTCGATAAAGGATCACCTTCAATGTATAAAAATCTGCAGTGTAATCACGGAACTGGCCTACCTCTCGTTTTTCAGTTTCCTCTTCGTCGTCCTTAACGATAACTACGTCCTCCTCGGCTTCCTGTTTCGGTTTATTATCACTACTCTCTGCTTTTTCGTCGTGTTTCGTTGCCGACTTTTCATCTTTGCCCTCTGCTTTCTCCTTCTCCTTATCCGTACCTTCCTCCGAATCTTTCTCCTCCTTCTTCACGTCCTCCTTTTCCTTATCCTTGTCCGCGTTACTCTCCTCTTCGTCCTTGGAGTCTTTTGGTTCTTCCTTCAAATCTTTATCGGTACTCTGTAAGACAATATTATTCGTATTCCTGTAATTCTTAGACTACAGAATTTGCATATACATGCCTGTTTTACATTTTCTATGAATGAAAGTCTATGTACTGTTGAGGACACTGACCTCTTTGTCTTTTTGTTCTTCCTTGATGTCTTTCGTATCGGACTCCGAATTACCCTTGTTCGATTCTGAGGCCGCCGAAACGGTGGTCGGAGTTGGAGTGGCGGCAGGACTCGGGCTCGGCGCGTTCGAAGTAGCCGGCGTGGCACTGGTGCTGCTGGTCCCAGTCGCTCCATCGCCACCGCTCTCCACCTTCACCGGTTCCACAGGTTTACGAATCATCTCAGGCATTGAATAGTACCCGTTTATGTGTTCAAATTCTTGTACCTAAATATAACGATCCATTAATAACAAGAAACTGCAACAGAATACATTATTTCTTGGTCATAAATGGTTTTACTTTTTTCCTTATCAAAGACATCACGCCGATTCTCGTTAACACGTGCTGCCTGCTGAGACCTTCCCTTGGAACGCCGTCAGCGAACGTTTCAGCGTTGTCCGCACCGGGTTCGCAGAGGTGTCGCATGAACAGGGAAACGTACGCCTTGAAATTCTTCTCCGACTTGCCCCTCAGATCGCGCACCAGCCTGAAATGCGACAATATACTTTAACAGTATTTTAAATTTACAGATCGACAGATGCATCTCGAGCGAGTAACTAACCACTGAGAGTTGAACGCGTCCTGCGGCGGCATACCGTAGCGCATGATCGCGTTCAGGAACGCCTTCCTCTGCCGAGCATTGAAACCCAAGACCTAAATAAGAAAATTGACGATACAGTACTCGTTCCTAATGTTTTGACTATAAATGAAATTTGTATGAAACGTACTTCGATGTTTCCATTAACTCTTGCGAGTAACGGAGGAAGAGGTCTATCTTTCTCGTCCCTCCTCTCCAATCTTCGCCTGCTTCTACGAGATAATAAGTCTCCGTCGCCTTTCTCATCGAAGTCGTCATCTTCTTTGTCGTCATCGCTGGGAGCACTGAAATCGCTGTTGTAATCGGAGAGGTTCTCCTGCCAAGGCTGATCGTCTCTCGTGCTCTGGTCTCCGGTTGCTATTCCATCATTATAATTCACCTGCTTACGTATTCGTTTACCTGAAACAATCATCAGTTTTTAAGAAATACTGTTATCACAAAAAATTGTTTCTGCAGGAGAAATAAAAATTGCATGCGACGTTAAATTATTACAAATAAATTACCTTTTCCAAGGGTTCTGGCAATATCTTCTTGTTGCTGTTCGTAATGATGCCTCAGTAACTTAATCCAGTAAGCCGGATCCGTATTCTCAGCTTCCTGTTTGATGATTTCCGTGTCTGCTTCCTCCTCGGTTTCACCTTCCTTGGTGACATACGACGCGACTTTGAAAGAACTCAAATATTCATTGGCCCAATTCTCTTTCTGTTCGATACCCTCCTTGCTTCTGTCCAGCAATTCAGCTACGGCCTTATCATCATAATGAATCGCCTCGTCTTCTTTACCTTCCTCCTCTTTAAATAATTCCTCGGTACCGAACCGTAAAATATCGTCAAGTTCCTGTTTGCTGAAGTTAGCGCCCTTACCACCCATACCAGGTCTCACAACCAAATGCGTCAGCATCATTTTACGTTTAGCCACTTGCGTGACACGTTCCTCGACAGAGTTACGCGTGACGAATCGATAGATCATCACTTTGTTAGCTTGACCAATCCTGTGTGCTCTGCTGAACGCTTGGATGTCGTTATGCGGATTCCAATCCGAGTCATAGATGATTACCGTGTCAGCGGTGGCCAAATTGATACCTAGACCGCCGGCACGAGTCGAGAGTAGGAATACGAATTGTTGTGCCCCGGGCGCGTTGAATCTGTCGATGGCCTCCTGCCTCTGCGCGCCGGTGATGTTCCCGTCTATTCTCTCATATTTGTAACCCTCTCCTTCCAAATAATCTTCTAGGATGTCCAACATTTTTGTCATCTGCGAGAAGATCAATACTCTGTGTCCATCGTCTCTCAATTTCTTTAACATCTTGCTTAACAACACGAGCTTGCCGGCTGCTTTGATCAACGCGGATGTCTCGTAACTGCCGTTCGGCGCAGTGGGCGCTTCTTGGGAAGCAGCTGGGAACAAGTAAGGATGATTGCAGCATTTCTTCAAGTCCATCATGATGTTCAACAAAGACACTTGTTGGCCGCCGCCCTTTGGATTCAAAGCTTCGAAATTCCTCGTCAAGATGTATTTGTAATACTTCTTCTGCATCGGTGACAATTCAACGCGGACGATGAACTCCGACTTGCTCGGCATGTTCTTCAACACGTCGGCCTTCAGTCTCCTGAGCATGTGAGGTCCGAGCAGTTCGTGTAACTTCTTCACCTGTTCCTCCTTTGAAATATCGGCGAACTCATTTTGGAACGCAGCCAGATCGTTGAACTTGTCGCGGCACAGGAAGTTCAACAGATGGAACAACTCTTCCAAGTTGTTCTGCAGCGGTGTGCCAGTCAGTAACAGCTTGTAAGCGATATTGTAGGACGCTAATAGCCTGAAGAACTTGGACTGATTCGATTTCAGTCTGTGCGCTTCGTCTACTACCAGCACGGCCCAGTCTATCGAGCCCAGGCACGCGGAGTCGATTGAAATCAACTCGTAACTTGTTAACAACACGTTGAACTTGATTTGATTTGATCGGATCTTCGACGCTCGTCCTCCGCGAACGGCGCCCTCCTCGAACGACAATTCGTTCTCGCGGATCACGATACGACTGTCCTTATCACCAACGTAGGTAACGCAGTAAAAGTCAGGCGCCCAGGTTTCGAATTCACGCTCCCAATTGATGATGGTCGATAAAGGGACGGAGACGAGGAAGGGTCCCTTGCAGTGGCCCTCCTTGTACAACGAGTAGAGGAAGGTGATGGTCTGGATAGTTTTTCCCAGACCCATCTCGTCGGCTAGAATGGTGTCTATGCCTTGGCCCCAGGAGTATCTCAACCAATTCAAACCCTACATAGTCGAACAAAGTTAGAATAAAACTTTGTAAAGTAATCTTGCTTCAACCCAGATACGTACTTCCAATTGATAAGGATGCAACTGCATTCCAGTCTGATCCAAATACTCCGGCTGTCGCTCGTACTTCTTCTTGAGATCCGTCGTGGGTTTGTCCGGCGGCGGAGTGTACCTCTTCGGAGTTCTCTCTTCGTCGTCAATGAGTTCCCGGGTCTTTGATTTCTTGCCCTTACCTGAACGAAACGAATCTAGTCAGTGACTCTGATGAACTCATTTATGATTGGAAAAGGGAAAGGAACAAAGTAACCGACTCTTCTCACCCTTCTTGCCCTTGCGCGAGGTATTAACATCGCAGCAATTAGCAGCTCTGAGATCCAAATAGTACTCGATAGCCTGTTTCAAACCGGGGATGTCCTCGTGCTCGTCCTCCCACGTGGCCTGATCGTACCCCAGCTCTCTCCACTTGACGAGGTACGTCGCTCTGCCGTCTCTCGACAGTCTGTGATTGATAACGCGATGCACTATGAGCCAATCCGGTCGAACGCCGTAACGATAGAATCTCTCTTCCAAGTTGTACTCGTCCCTGTTGAGAACGATGTCCTGCTCTTTCAGCCGCTTCACACGGGTATCGCTCTCGTCCAGCGGCTCCTCCAACTTTGGCGGGTCGTCCATGTCATACTTTCGTGAATAGTTTCTGAACATCAGGGGATGGAATACGTCTAATTGAAGTTCTGTGATCCAGTCGCAATGCCAGTAAGACATATCTGCCCATTTGACAAAGAATTCGCGGATCCTACGTTGTTTCGGAGCGGCTTTGCTCGTCGACGGTTCCTCCGAAGGAGTTTCAGGACACTCTTTCCACCTCCACGTTAAGATCTTTGCGACTGTTGCACAAAAATAAATGATTAATTACAAGCTACAGAGAAGAGCAAAATTTACAGAACGTAAAATCGAATCTTTTATAAAATTAGAAGGAGTAGTTCATATAATTGAGTAACTAGTACAGTACCTTTCCCTCGTATAGGTGGACAAGAACATCGAGGACACTTCCAGTCACCATCTGGGATTTCTGAGAGCGGTGGATTCAAGCAGTGCGTGTGATACGCGCTGGTACAGCTGTCGCAGCATAACAGTTCACCGCCGTCTTTACATATTCTACAGAACTCCATATGCTCGTCATCGTCCTCAGCTGCACCTTAGAATAAAATCAAGAATTCAATGAAACCACGGAGTATTTTAATTAGAATCTGATTGGGATTAGAGTCATGGGAAGGATGAGAGGATCGGGAGTACAGGTAAGGTACCTGCAATACCTTCTCCCTCGCAATGAGGACAACTCCATTTCCCTTCGGGTGTTTCCTCCAGTTCAGGGTCCAGGCATACCAAGTGATAAGCTCTGGGACACGTGTCGCAAAGAATGATTTCTCCGCCTTGTTGGCACACCTCGCAATAATCCTGGTGATCGGTCTGCAGACGTAAATCGCGTTATTTAATCGATACCATATTTTATTTTACATAAAAGTCGTAGATCTATCTACGATAGAAGCATACATTTCAAAGTGTGAACGTACCTGAAGACCCTCCTCTCCGTCCGGAAACTTGGACGTGGTTTTCGTCTTTTTCTTCTTCTTAGTCTTGTTTCCGATTTTGGTTTTCGCCTTCCTGCGAACAGGTGGTTCCGCCGGTGGCTCGACTCCGCTCTCTTCCGCGTTCCCTTTGCTGGTCCCCTCCGTGCCGGAAGGCTCCTCCGCGTCAGCCAACATCTGCTCGAATTCCATGTCCGAGTCCCTGTCAGTGCCAGCGCCGCTGCCTTCCGCTTCCTCGTCCGAGCTTCCACGTTTGCGTTTACCGAGCTTGATCTTCAACGTCGGTACCTTCGACGCTTTCTTACCCTTTTTCGCTCTGGATCCCCTCGACTTCCGCTTTCTGTCGCTGTCCTCGTCATCGTCCTCTTCGTCCTCGCCTTCTTGAACCGCAGCACCGCGATTTGCCCTCGCGTTCCTGCCGTCCTCGTCAACATTCGCAGAGGACACGTCTGCGTCTGGCTGTGTGTGAGGGTTCAGTTCGGAGAAATCGCGCCACTTAGCCGCAACCAACATCATGAGCTTTGACATTGGAACCTAGCAAGTCGATCCAAAAATATATATTTCAATTGTCTTAAAAGTTTCTCGTCGCAAATAACTCGTAGTCGCAATTTACTTTTGGATTCTCCTTTGCCAAAAGTGGTCTGACGTGTTGTTGGAATAATTTATAAGTGGTCAGGTTCTGGAAGTCCGCGTCGGTGTATTCGATTTGTACGTCGGTCAGACCGAAGGTGTTGCAGACTTCCTCGATCGTGGGCATGCCGGTGGTCGGTTCCTGGCTGGGAGGAGCCGCCGCGGCGCTGTGACTCGACGACTTCCTGGAGGAAGATTTCCTACTTTTCCTATTAGCTGCATAATCGCTATCGTCCCCTGCCACGTCACCGGCATCGCCGCCTCCTCCAAAGTCGCTCTCCTATACAATAATCATTTATATCATACATTATAAACTACGCAGTTTGTATTATAATAAACGAAACGGTAAATAATTACATCTCCGGAGTCAGATTTTTTCTTTTTCTTCTTTTTCTTTCCCTTCTTGTCTTCGCTACGTGCTTTTCGCTTCTTACCCTTTTTCTTTTTCCTCTCCTCCGGCTCGTAATCGTCATCTTCTTCCTATATTAAATAATTTTTATTTAAAAAATCGTAACTTGTTCAAGTTGATCTGATATACAAGATACTGACTAGTCTTTGAGATTCTTCCGCGTCGGACGAACCATCTACTTGCTGGTTCACATTCGAAACCTGACCACTGGTTTCGTCTAAATCATCCTCTCCTAAAAATCGATTTAAAAAAATAATTCCACAGTGAAATAAGAAGAGAATTACGAGTAATGACGAGCAGAGGAATATTTGTTATAAAATATTTCTGATATACCGTCGCCCACGCTACGATTTCATATACATATAACTGATATGTATTAAGCTGCTTCACTGGCCGGCTCCAACTTACACAAAATCAATATCTGCATTCATTACAATATGGGTTCAGGAATAGTCAATGTATATATTTCTGGCGAAATTAATATTTCATGTAAATCAATATTCCCCGGTCCGTCGGGAGCGTCAATTTTCCTACCGAGTGTTAAAAAACAATTTCGCGTAGGCCCGTTCGATTTGTTAAACGAGTACGCGTAAATATTTTGCATGCAGAGGAAAGAATTTATTTAAATCATCCTCGATACGCCATGCACGGTACTGACGATACTTTCGCCGCTGAATTTTCCAGAGAATTCGGCAATTTTAATCGAAGCTAGCGTTCGGTCTCGATTATATTTTATAAAAACAATTCTAATAAACATGCAATTTTAAAAAAGTATTAAAGTTTTAATGCGGAAATGTGAGCGAAAACGGAGGGAGCGGTATGAACGAATGTTATTGGACAGGACGCGTTTGGTTGGCGAAACGGCGACAATGAAAAAGAATCTAATATGTATGCAATTTTATGAAAAAGCTACTCAAAGTTTTAACGCAAAACAGTTAGGGAGAAGGGAGGGAGCGGCGTGAACGCGACGTATGTTATTGGACAGGACACGTTCGATTCGCAAAACGGCGGCGGACCGATAATTGCCAAATCGATAGTAACGTTTTATAACAATCCTTTCTGCATTTTTCTTGTTTCTCCGGCACGATTGCCGCGATACGAGAAACTGCGAAACGAACGCAGGGATAACCGTGTAAACGAGTACGTATACGCGCGCATGCACAGGCGTCGGTTGGGAAAAGCAGGCGAACGGATCGGATGCTCGGAATGACATTAAATTATTTCAGACTAATCCGCGTTCGGCGAATGCTTTGTGCGAGGGTATGCGTCCGCCATTTTCTTCGAAAGGGCTCAACCGCATTGAACATCTATATTTCATATTCGTAACATTGCCGCGGTTTCCGGGCTCCCGGTTCCTTGACCGTGTTCGGTAGAGAGAAACAACCGTGAACAAGATCGCCGGTAAATCCTTGATAAATCCCGGAACGCGATCTCCTCGCACCAGTAGCATGCATTATATCCGGAATTAATGGTGTGCGCGTAGTATACACGCACACAAACGTAGCAGATGGTCGGAAAACCGAGCGTTGCGAAATTCGCTCAGAGGTTCCGACGTAAATTTCATCAAGCGTCTTTCGATGTTTCTATTATTCTTTTCCCTGAGATAGAAAGGTCGGACGTAAACGATTTATAGGACAGGCGTACATACATGAATGAAACTATTTTACTATGTGGTTCAAGTAGATTAGGATTGAACTAGAACCTACTTAAAGCAGAAAAACAGTGCGTACCTTTCGACGTCGAAAGTGATACACGATGGGTTTGATAGATAGAGCAGGGTTCGTCTCGAAATGCAACAATTATGGGCGCTCCACGGTAATTATGTAAGGAATAGGTCGAGAACTGGAAACGTTCGATGCTCGATCAACTCCAGAAGTGATCGATCGTAACAGTAACCGAATGTAATAACGAAATTCGAGGTTTCGGTAGTCTTGCAACTGCAAGAACGCCAGAGAGATAGGAAAGCTCGGAGGACCATGTGTTTTCCAGCCAGGTAGCGAATGTAAACAATAACCTACAATAGACTAACTATTTTGCTAGGTTCACGCGAGAAATGCGCGAAGACGACGGTACGTTAACCCGTCGCGAACGTGGGTATGTATCCTTCGAATACTCGCGGAATGGTTTGACAATTCGAAGGTTAGTCCGCGTCACCGAGGGAAAAGCGAGCCCCGACCGGATCCAGTGTATCGGGACTGAGATAACTTTCCGCGGTGGCGATTCATCGAGTCCGATGCGAAAACGTTCGAAACGTTGGATCGTAGCGGGTGAATCCGAGAGGATCGCGTGGAAAACTACGCGTAAAGGTCCGCTCGACATGGCAGCCATCGTACGAAAAGCGCGCGTCCTGCGTGTATCTCGAGGATACCTACAACTGTCCGGTGGTATCCGTGACCGAGTACCCGCTACGTCCCTCGTCCCCGAAGCACTTACCCGCGTAGCTCTCGTCCACCTCCTCGTCGGACGCCATCCTCTGGTATCGCGGCGGTAAGCCGAAGAAGCTCGGTGGAAAAAAAATATATACACACGCGGCACCCGGATAGTTCTAATCGCCAAGCGTTAGCCGTGAAGATACGGCACGGATATATGCGACATCAAACGTTCTCGTGTCCGTGCGCTTTGCTCGCGACGCTCGCCTGTTCCGCGTTTCGGTTATACACGGCGTGCCGTCACTTTCGTTCCCCGTACGTGCACCGATGTGCACCTAACTGCTCTACTACGCTTCTTCTCTCACGCGATTCGTCGGTTCTTCTCGTTCTTCCCCACCAGACCCGGCCGACGTTTCCCCTCTTCTTCTTCTTCTCCTTCTTCTGCTCGACGGTCCGCTTCTTCCCCTCTTTTCGTCGCCCCACCAAATGTATTCGTCGCGCCGCGCCGTTACACAGCAGCGTGCCGTACAGTCGAATGTATAAGTACCGAATGAATGCTCTGCCCGGAGTCTACCGTGTTGCATTTATTTCTTTTTCTTCACCCCCCCGCGGTCCCCTTCTCGCCCCTCGCTCCCCTTTGTTTCGCCGCTTCCTCCCCTACTCCTCTCGCGGTACCTTGCCCGGAAAATGGTCTTTCATTTTTGGAAAAGGATCCCCTTTTCATTTCTTCCAGCTTCCCATCCATCGGCGCGATGAACCGATTCACCGGCCGCCACCTGAAACGCTTTTGTAACTCCGTTTTCCCCTTTCCAATATCCTGCAGCCTGCGCTTCTGTTTCTATCCTAGCTTTCCTTTTTTCTCCCATTCGTTACACGCGACTTTTTATTATGTTTTTACGTATCCGATCGATTCAGGACTGTATCCCCTGTAACGATATTCTCTGAAAGAACTGCATACGCATACTCTGATTTAAAAAATGATGATAATGACGATAACGATGCGATAAAGATTTCTGGTTGATTAATCCACCATTTTAGTTTCGATGGAAATTGTCAGAGTTGCATCGCGACACGTAACGTGGTATGCGCGTACGGATTCGCGATGTATGATTAATGGACAGCCACGAATACACGTGCAACCCGCGTGCACGTATATGCGTTCGTGTATCGACCTTTTCGATAGAGACGAGATAACGTCAATTAGTATAATTTTTCTTTTTTCTTTTTGCCTCTCCAGACAATTATTTCTAATTCGTTATCGTAGATTATCGATTTCACCCGATGGAACGACGGGACGAGACCCGACGGCCCACCGCGACAAAATCCTAATTAGGAAATTGGTTATTATCGCTTACCATCGTCATACACACGCTCACACATATTCAGAAGTAAATAGCTTGTCCCTGTTCGTCCGTGTGACCCAGCGCGATTCTTTATCTCATTTCTTTATCGCGATATACAAAAATGAGATTTCCTTGCGACGCGGAAATTCGAATTTCGCAAGATGCCGTATGCTAGGTAGTAGAAAGCACCGGGAACCGTAAATCATTCTCTCGCAGGTCGACAGACTTAGTCTCAGGTATAACTCCCTTTCTTAATCTGCTGTACAAATTTCTTTGTAACGTGCAGCTTCTTAGCTAGCCACCGGGAACGTAAAAGGGATTCTATGACACCGATGCTGTGATCGTTTATATCTTCTTTATTTCATAATTGCTAGAAATACGAATTTTGTTACGCTCCGTTACACGGCACGCTTGAAACGTTAATGAAAATTTGATTCACGTAACAATCTATTTACAGGCGATTGAAATATATAATATCGTGCGTGTGTGTACCTGTATATGTATGTCTCTGTGTAAAGGCCTTTGTATACAAAAAGGAAAAGTCTTGGAAAGAAAAGCATTTCTCGTTAATACTCTTACGTACAATAGATTCAACCCTCCTCGTTAAAACATCCTTAAAACCTGTAAATACTAGATTTAGAAGACAAACACGATTTATGTATATCACTTACTTGTTAATTACAATTTACAAAAAGATAAAGATTCGTCTGCTCAGGAATGAATTGAAGCAATACTGTATGGAATGGATTAGGACCCTCGTCAATTTGAAGAACGAATAACGATCCATCGATGTCACCGAGTCATTGTATAATATATTTATATATATACTTAAAGCGTATTGCAATTTTCTTTTTAGTAGAACGATGGAACTTTTGATTTTACGCGAACGAAACTTTGTACTACATCCCGTTTCCAACTCTACGTATTAATGAGATCTATCTCACCGAAAATGTTTCAAACTAGCATATACGTACTGTACATCTCTGCGTAACTAGACATTATGTATATTTATCCACGGTGGATGAAGAAATGCTTGATCGTCAGAACGTGTTGCTTAGACAGAGTATACGTTGTTCGCAAAATTCTTCCGATCGATCGGAATCACAAGCGATCGTTCGTGTACAAATCGAGACAGATTTGCACTGTACATAAAAAATGATATCCGATGCTATTGTATAGATTTAAGACGTAAGGATCAGCTTGTTCAACCGTAATCGACGCTCAGAGCACTGAGACCCTTCTTCTTGATAGCTTCCGCCACGGCCCTCTCCAAAATATTCTCCTGCTGATCATTTTCATCAATCTTGTCCAAATCCCAGTCAAGTCTGGTTCGTTCCTCCGTGGTTTTCGAGTCGTTCAGTCTCAAGGAACCACTGGACGTGGTGGCTACGTTCTCAAAACTTCCTTGGACGCTGTTGGAGGGACAGGAGCAGCGAACGTTTTTGTTGGTCCCGTATCCTGGAGCGCTGTAACAAGCAGTGGACTGAGAGACGATCCCTGCAGACAAGCCGTGATTAAGAATCGCCATCATCACTGCGGTGTCCTCCATGTCATTCCCTCCGAACAACTGGAATCTGGATTCCTCGAGAGAATACATGTAATTCTCCAGTACTATATTGATGGTGTTGTCCACGTATCCTTTGGCCACCTGGCAAGCTTGCCATCTCTTCAACTTCTCCCTCGCCTGTTTCTCAGCATCATCGTATTCGACGTCCTCCGTTTCTTCCGTCTTCTCTTCCTGCTTGTTCAGACTCTTTTCCTGTGAATTGAACACCCGAATAGAGAATACATTTCGAGGGATTAGAACAACAGTTTTCTATGGGAGAACGCAACACGCGATCGGTACATCTTAGGCTGAGAATCATTCGTAAAAAATACGCGTATTGATCAACTAGCGATGACCCTCGGTCCGTTAATTTATTCCAAAGAACAGTGATAAGTAATTACCGTATCCCAAATGGTCTCGTTGGTCTTGTTAAGGAGTCGCGTACATTGCCGTTTAGGAGGAGCGGGCCTTTCGTGATCGTCGGTGTCAGATTCCTCAATGTCGGTCGCCATTTTCTCTATTTTCCACTGAACTCGTATTCTGTTCCCCGTTCAAGCAATATCTCGGTGAAGATCGAACGTCTTCGTCGACGACGCTGCTACTAAACACTCGGTAGGACGTTGGGAAGATCCGCAGCAGCCTTCTTTGACATCTTCCTCACGACAGGGTGATAAATCACCGTCGCGCGCATTCGATCCGTATTAAATCATCTCCACGAGCGTGTGCACTTCTCGGGGCGCGGGTCGCACGCGACATACAAAAATGCTTGACGATTATCGCGAGCAAAGCGACGGGCTCGAGGAAACGGCCACTGCACCGCGGACCACGATCAAACACAGAGAATCGTTTTGACAGCTTCAAAATGGCTACGTTACCATTGGAATCCGTATCCGGGGTGTGAACGATACGAATCGGAAATTTCGCTTTCCATTCAAACACCCGCGCACGAGATTTTCTGAAACCTCGGCGAACAAAGCCGAGTACAAATCTCACATGTACCTCACTGATTCGAATTGGAAATCACGATAACGCGGACGACCGTCTCTGCGACACGACATTCTAACTGAATGGAAACCATATTGCGTACAACCCATGCGCGAGCTGGAAAATCAGAAATTCTTGCTAAAAAATTTTAAGTTCACATGCACTCCATAAAAAACGGGAACGATCTTGTTGATACACTCGTAGAAATCAATCGATTTTCGCCTCATACGTGACAAACTGTGTCCCGCGATTTAGCTAGGAATAATACCGTGGCGTAAACATGTGATCGCAGTGGTCAATGAAACTTTGACGTCTGGTACTGTCAAGCGGCTCGCTTTACGAATCGTCCGAGACGAAATTTCCTTTGACATCACTGTTGGACACGTTCATTGGCATGGCAGTCTGCGGGGAATACATTCGCAGTCAATTTCCCACGATAGACGACGATCTCTACCAATATGTGGAAGGTACGTCTCCGTGAATAACCTGCGAACCGCAAAACGTTTCGCGTTCGATGTATCCGATCAATGGACAATTGCTAAAAAAACCGTTACGGTTCGGCCAGGTATTTTAGACAGTTCAAAGGACGACTTCGAGGACGGAGACGAGGTGTACGAGGCAATCGGCGAGGTGCTGCACGAGGTCGCTGAAAAGCCAGAGAACGAGGTTAGGTCTGTAAACGTGTTCGCACTCGTCATTTTTTCTAAACGCGTTCTATCGATATCGTTAGATCTCATTTTAAACCGCCAACTTCGTCACGTGTGCCTTACATATAAAATCTATCATTTCTACGAACGTTCGTCTATCGACTCGATCGTCTAATTACATAATTTCCGTGTAAGAGGTTCCCCATTCACGATTTTGATTGCAGGCAAATATGCGTGAAACTGTTGGAAATGCTAAAAGGGAACGCGAACGATGGAGAAGTCGAGAGGAGAAAGAACGGGGTGAACAAAGTATTGAATGCTCCAATTCATTTGGGCACCATGGCTGCTACCTTGGAAGCTCAAGTGGAGCAAATAAAGAGTATATGGGTTACTACCAGAGATGACGCGATGGTAACACATCCCTCACAGATAAACTGATTAATTGCTCTTTACATTTTGTCTAAAAGAAATATTTCCTGATAGAAAGTGGACGCCAAGAAGTTAGAGAAAGCAGAAGCGAAGTTACAACAGAAACAAGAGAAAAGAAGTAACACTGAATCTACTGGGCGAGTTAACAGTGTCAGTCAGAGCATAGAATCTGCGAGCGCCAGCCAGATGACTAGTAAAAAGGACAGTAGGATGGAGAACAAGGGCAGTGTAAATAAAACTCAAGACATTAGGATAGAAAATTTTGATGTAGCATACGGGGACAGAGTATTATTGCAAGGAGCTGACTTGACGCTCGCGTTCGGTAGACGCTACGGCCTTATCGGTAGAAACGGACTAGGAAAAACCACTCTATTACGAATGATATCTAGGTACGAGCTCGTTCTACCCCCTGACTCACCTACTCTTAATACACTATTTAATTCGCCATTATTTAATTGCAGTAAACAATTGAGAATACCTTCGCACATAAGAGTTTTGCACGTCGAGCAGGAAGTCGCCGGTAATGAAACGTCTGCTCTCGAATCCGTATTGGAATGCGATCACGAAAGGAACTTGTTGCTTGACAAAGAAAAAGAACTGCAAGCGGCGATCGAGAAGGACGGTGGTCAGAACGCAGGAGATGTTTTGGGCGAGGAATTAAACAGAGTCTACGAGGCGATGCAAATGGCCGAAGTGGACAAAGCACCAGCTACAGCTAGCGCAATTTTATCTGGACTTGGGTTCACCGTCGAGAGGCAATCGTGGCCAACGAAATCGTTCTCCGGTGGCTGGAGAATGAGACTAGCGTTAGCGAGAGCATTATTCTCTAAACCTGATCTCTTGTTGCTCGATGAACCTACGAATATGTTGGATATCAAGGCTATACTGTGGCTTGAGAGATATTTACAGTCGTGGCCAACTACTCTGCTCGTAGTTTCTCACGATAGGAATTTCTTGGACACGGTACGAAATCATTGCTGGGAAGACGAGATAAAATGTTTCAATCTAATGTTAAAACATGTTTGACGACAGGTGCCGACGGATATTTTGTACTTGCGTGGGCAAAAGATCGAAGCGTACCGAGGGAATTACGAACAGTTCGCGAAAACGAAAGGAGAACGCGAGAGGAATCAGCAAAGGGAGTACGAAGCCCAGCAGGCTAAGAGGGCACACGTGCAGGAGTTCATCGATCGATTCCGATACAATGCTAATCGCGCTTCTAGTGTACAGAGTAAAATTAAGATGTTAGAGAAACTGTAAGTATTCAGATAAATTTAGGAAATGTTCGGTATTTTATAAAATGATTACCTTTGACAGGCCAGAACTTAAACCGATGGAGAAGGAGGGAGAAGTAACTCTTCGTTTCCCGGACGTGGAACCATTGAGTCCTCCTATATTGCAACTTAACGAAGTTTCCTTCAGCTACACCGGCGATGCCAATAACTATATATTCACCGGTGTTAATCTGACCGCTAGCTTACAATCTCGCATTTGTATCGTGGGAGAGAACGGTGCTGGTAAAACTACGTTGCTGAAGATCATAACGAGTGCGTTGAGCCCCACCCGAGGCACTGTACACGTCCACAGGAACTTGAAATTCGGATACTTCAGTCAGCATCACGTGGATCAATTAGACATGCGTGTGTGCCCGGTTGAACTGTTGCAAAATCATTTTCCAGGTGCGTTCTCTTGGTTCGAAGTTAAAAGGAGTTTACCTTAAATAATTGTGCGATACTTGTAAATTCAGGAAAGCCGATTGAGGAATACAGGAGAATGCTGGGAAGCTTCGGAATCAGCGGTAACTTGGCACTGCAGACTATCAGCTCTCTGTCCGGTGGGCAAAAGTCGAGAGTGGCGTTCGCGTTGATGTGCGCTGCCACGCCGAACTTTTTAGTGCTCGACGAGCCCACCAATCATTTAGACATCGAGTCCATCGAGGCTCTAGGCAAAGCATTGAACATCTGCCAGGTAAAATCATTTCAGTGCTTGATCTCATACGCGATTCTGTTTCCGCTGCATCCGTTTCTAAATCATTTTTCAGGCGGGCGTCATATTAGTTTCGCACGACGAAAGACTCATTCGCATGGTGTGCACCGAACTCTGGGTATGCGCCGAGGGTTCCGTGCGGTGCATCGAGGGCGGTTTTGACGAGTATCGTAGGATCATTGAAAAGGAGTTCGAAGTATAAAAATCATTTTTTTCTTCTCTTTTTTTAAATCAATTGCATTGCGAGACGGCGCATTGTCCCGAGTTAAGTTACCGATGTGAAAATTTCGATTCGAAATAAACAAGAAAAACCATACACTTTTTCTTATTATTGCCGGGACAGCGTACATTTCTTAATTCATTTAATCGACCCTGCCGCGAAGATTATACCGTCTATTTTAAACAAAATCGTGTACGTTCAGAATACACAAAAAATTATTATATTTCATTATTAACATGGAACTTGCAAAATAGACTGAGTCTTCGATTTACAACAATCGTAGGAATTAGGAAAGTTTCACATCGTTCAACTGCCAGCTACAATAAACTATATCTAAAAAAGAATTCTGATATTTAATACTGTACATTAGTTGATAATAAAAAGTCATTGTTATAAATAAAAGTACATAACACTCTCTATCCCTTTCTTTGCTTTTTTTTTATAAAATGTGACGTTACATTTGAATCTACACGACCAGTATTCATATATTAATTGCAGTTCTCTTTTAATATCTATGTATAACAACGTGTTCTAATTAAACACAGTCTTATGCGATATTTTATAAGAGGATAAATAAATTAATTACAATTTAAACAGATTAAAATCGACGTTTTACTTTCTGCTTAAAAATAAAACGTTGTTGACTCTGACGTGGCGTGTTAATCGTTTTAATACCTTTATTTCGGTTCATGCTTTCTCGTTTTTTTTCGTTGTGATAATGCTTCGAAGATGATTAGAACTAATCGTATATAATATATAATAAATAAAACGAGTTACTTGGAAACGTATTAATGTGCCAAAGAAGTTGTACTGTACCGCCACGATTAACCCCCGGACGAGGTATTTAAAGGTACCATCGTTTGCATTGGTGGTGCAGGAGCTTGTTGTTTCGCCGCTGGAATTTTCAAATATTTCCATTACTCCTGAAAGTCTCATCAGTTTGATATTTACTCCAAGCATTTGCTATCAGTGCGTCTAGCATGCATTCGGGATCTCCGAGCATACGTGTGCCGTGTTTAGGATTGCGTGTACTGTGTCTCAAGCAATTAGTAACAGCTGGCGTGTAAAGATTTAATCCATTAGATGTATATAGTATTAGTTGCGACCTAGAATTCATCGACCAGCAGTCAAAAGTAATTGGACCACAGAGTTTATTGTTCTGTACGGGAGAAATTTACAAGCAGTGGTAAGGGACATGCAAAGCGTTGGGTCACATCACGCGAAGCGAGGAACATTTCCCACGAGTACAATTTAGGAAAACAATTGTGCGGTGTATTGTCTTATAGTCTGCTTCAGGAACGATCGGGTTTTAAACAGATGGTTCTCACCGTTTCTGCTACTGTAGACTTTCGTGAATCCTCTGAACGGTTCCGGCGGTGGAAAGCTCGCGATCGAGTGGAACATCTCCCCGAACCGTACCTCCAGATCCAGGGTTATCATCGGTTGCCCGTTGCGCATGGAAGAGCTCCTCGTAGGAGGCGTAGGCGGTGGCGGCGGCGGCGGAGCGAGTCTCTGGTGAGTAGTCGGAGCCGGACGATGAGGAAGAGGAGGAGGAGGCGGCGGCATGCTCGGGGCGCTAACTGCGACCCTGGAAGGCGGCGGCGGTGCTACCCTCGTCGCGGTGGTCAAGTTGTTCGACCGAGACGTGGGTGGAGATGGAGGTTTCACGACCGGCGGTCTTAGCGCCCGGTTCGTCGGCCTCGCTTGAGGCTCGTTCAGACAATCTTGCGACTGATGCAGAGAGGGTGGCGTCGGAGCAAGCACCGGCGGCGACCTGGGCAACCGCATACTTTGCGCTCGCGACACGCTCCCTCCGCTGGTTAAATTCAACTTCTTGGGAGGCGGTGATGGTTTGTGCAGTGAAGATGGAGTCGAAGGAGGTTTCGGCGCAAGGATTGGCTTCCCGTGGCTCTTAGGAGCTTCTACACTGGAGCTCGGGGAGTCTGTCACACCCTGTCCCATTGAATTGGTCTTCTAAAGCGTTACAGACATTATACGAAATGTAAATTAATGCAAAAATAATAAGTATACATTTCAATTAATAGAGAAGATTGATCAAGCATTAATACCTGAGCAAATAATTGTGGTTTCTGCGTGGCTGGTGGTGGCACTGGAGGTGGCCCCCTTTTTATACCGGAAATAGTCGATTGACCGAAATTCGTATTATTTACATTGCTAGTTGCTGCTGCTGGTTTCTCACCAGTGGTGCTTCTCAACCCTGTGGGCTTCAATTTAGGCATACCGCTAGAAAATAATCCACCTAATCCTATGGGTCCTCCATTACTTGTGTTAATACCACTGCTCGCTATGTTCGAATTATTTTCTCTAGTACTTGAAGAAGAAGAAGAATTCCTAGGTTCTCCTTTTACTTTACCTGAAATAATAATAATAATAAGAGTTATTACTTCAGGAATAATGAAAGTGCTTCATTGTTTGAAGGAGAACTTACCGCTAACTGCTGGTGCACTTTTGTCTACAGTCACAGTTTTCTTTAACGTCTTCCCAGCTCTAATTGACTGCAGAAGTAAACTTCTGTCCTGATCGGCTGCACCGGAGCTGGATGCGTTGAAGGCAGGAGGTGGAGGCGGCGGTGGTGCAGGCATCTTCGTCCGATTCTTTGCCAAATTGTTTATCGCCTTTGACAAATCGAAAAAACACAAACGAAACAATGAGCCTTGGTTGTATACGCAACGGATCGCTTATCGTCGAGCGAATTCGTGCACGGCAGAACGTGAAATGGCTGAAGTACGGTTAAAGGAGATAAGATTAGACCGTTTAGACCTCCTACAGAGAGAAAACTCGAATTAGGTTAACGAAAATAAGTTTCTCATCCCGTTGGTCCTTCCTGCGATCGCACAGACGAATTTCGCGCTCGGCAAGCGTGATCAAAGAGACGGGACGAGGCGTATTCGCTGGATGTTTACCTAAAATTGACAGAACGATTCCGCGATCGGAGTGGCACGATCTTTGAAACTACCGCACTTTGTGTCCCTGTCTGATTCACTGTGAGCGAACCAAACCCACAACATACCAAAATGATAATCGACGGGTTCTTCAGCCGAGCCGCTTTTAAAACCGCAGCCGTTTTTTCCGTGTCGAGGCCAGGGTCGAACCGTCGCCGTCACGAGGAGTCCGGATGTGGGAGTTAATGCACATCCCGATAAGAGTCAACCGTTTGTTTATAGCATCGACGAGTCATGTTCGATCGAACGTGAACACGTCGGATATTACACCTGAACACACGCACCACACCTGGGAAGCTTTTAAAGCGAAACGAGAACTCTTTCCTCTGGAACTACTATACGATTGGCTGACTGAAACGGATCCGCGTCCTCTCCTTCCGATAGGGAAACGCACATCCGTTTTAACAGGGTTCCGCACGGACATATTTACTGAAAAATGGCCTGTCAACCTCTTGAGAGGCGATGCTCTTGAATCACATTTCGAGGGACAGGCATTTAAAATGATGCATTCGTCGAGTGCTCTATCGCCGCAAGATATTTTAACGGAGGTCCGGAAATTCTTATCTGGAGCTGTTCGATCTCACAACACTAACACGCTCGATGTCACGCGCACAGCTTTGTCACTGCTTCAAAATGTGCCTGCTGCCAGAGATGCGGTCCTCGAATATTTCTGCAATGTATTTTTCGTCGCAGTGTCGAAATACGTTCGACAGATCGAGGTGAGTCTTCTTAAGGCCAAACTTATTGTTTGCTTAAATAAATTGAGTAACAACATCGTTTCAGACTAATCAGAATTTGGCGATATGCGAGGAATCGCTGATAGCAGAGATCCATTCGGTTCTGAGCAGTTTCATCAATGGAAATCCAGAAGCGTGGGCACCAATTATCTCAGCATGGTCTCTAGAATTATTGGGTATATACTCGCTGATTCACTTCAGATCTATTAGCCCCCATAATACACTTAATATATTCCTAGTTGTAATGTCTTATTACAGGTAAACTGTCCTCTGATTATTCGAAACGTGGAAATCTGCCAGTCAATGCGGGAATCAATGATTTCCTTCAACAATGGATGTCCTGTCGTGCCACTCGCACTTTAATCGATATCACAGCTCAGTGCCTTCAATGTCTCATGCATTCCGACACAGAGTCTTGCATCAAAGCATTGTTAGATACCAGCGTGTTGCACAGTCCCCATTTCGACTGGGTGGTAGCTCACGTAGGAAGCTGTTTCCCAAACACCGTCATCACCAGAGTACTATCCTGCGGACTGAAAGACTTTTGCATGATGGGCCACGAGCATAATATAAAAAATCCTAAACTAAATTCAGTCGTCGGGATTCTGGAACACTTGGCTGGTAGCCATTTCCAGGACATCAGAAGAGCGTTGTTAGATTTATTTAAAGTAAATCATATTTACTTATTTTATAAATGCATCAAATCCGTTGTAGTTTAATAATTAATAATGTTTTCAGTGGAGTTTAGAGGAAGATGTGAACGCCGATGAAGATACGAAGAAACAGAAATTGGCCACCGTTCCATTTCTTCTGAATCTAGCGTCCCTCTCACAGACCCTCTTGAAAGCAATAACCAGCGACGTGCTGCAAACCTGTAAGTAAACACGTTTGGCCAAGAAAGATACATAACAAGAATTATAAAATACATAATAAAATTAATATAAAATTGATGAGCTGTTCTTTTCTGTTACAGTGAAGTCGGACATAATTCCGCAATTAGCTTTGTTCGCCTTGGACTGGTGCAAATATTTCGACGACCAACCGCAAGCTCTAATAGACTTAGTCGTTCATCTGGTATTGGGATGCGAAGAGGGAGCATCTCAGATAATAAATACTTTACTAGACACCAGTTTAAACACGAGCAATGTTGGATATCACAGCGTGAACGCCGCGCAGAGCGTGAAGAACGTCGCTTCCGAGATTCTAGAATTGGTGTTACGAGAAATCGACGTACTCCTAAGAACTCACGGGCCTCAGTCTGCAAATATAGCTCTGCTGAATTCTATCAAGCAAGAACTGCCGGTGATACTGCCGTTGCTTTTGAACCAGAATCCTCTACGAGTGCAAACAGCCGTAAGACTGATGTGCTTCCTCGGGACTCAGAATCCTAACATGCTTATATCCGCAGCTTCTTACATGCTGGTCAAAGCTGTGACCACTTTCCATCTTGCTGCTTTGATAAAAATGATTTCTAATAATATCGTGATGTTCTCCTCTAACAAACTGGAAATGGAAAACGTACTGGCTAGTTATGGCTTCTTCACGCAAGTGCTGGAACAAGCGCTACGTGAGATAAATTATGGAAACAATATAGGGAAACCAGACATGAGACAACTGTTCCAAAATCTTACGATATTGTTGAAGTAAGTAGTAAATACGATTGATAATATAATTATTAGACCATGAATTGTCACCTTGAGGAAAGGTAAATTTACGAGGGATTACTTTTCAGATGGGAGAAGTCGAACAAAGCGACTGTGTTCCGATCGAAAATAGTAGCGGAAGCTATAAAAGCGAATTTGCATCAAATCTCCGGCCTCTTGACAAAGATAGTCGACTTCGATTTAGCTAATGACATTGCGAAAATGCTAGACTTGTTTTGCATGCCCGAGAAAGATAATTTTTCGCCGAACGTTGAGCTGACTTTAAAACTAACCAGGGCCGTGATACAATATCTGTTTCTGTGTATGGCAGAGATCGGTAAGTATCTAATTATGGAGTAAATTCCAAAACTTCGAAATCTGATAATTTGTGTTATTTAAGATATCACGAAAAAGCAGCAAGGCATGAAGATTGTCTGCCACTTGTTGAAAGACTTAACTTGCTATTCACCGTGCGCTCGGGTATTAGCTCTGAGAGAAATCTTAGTACACAGTATCAGTAACGATCCTGCTAAGTACTTTGGGGCGAAAGAGAAGTTCGAACCGAAATTCAAAGAGGCGTTACTTTTACATCAAAATCATAAACAGGTAACGAGACATTAAAATGAAATTAATTAAACGAATAAAATTTGTTACTTGGATATTATTATAAAATTCTTAGGTAACGAGCACGATGTTAGCTCAGAAGCATTCTTCTGTATTCCACGCTGGGGTGATCGGCCACGGTCCTCGCAGGCCACCGCCGGAGAACACGATCGACAAAGAAATCATTGCCCTGAATAAAATACTGCTTGTAGACGCGATAAAGGTAAAACTCCCTAAAACACGAGCATAGAATGCAATTATTCGAGTTACAATTTATTCAATATCTAAATTCGATAGGCCTGTTGTAGTAATCGGGAGTCGGAAAGGTATCCTGTGAATCTGGACGCTCTGACGATGGTCAGTTTGCTGTTAGTCGAGCTAGTATCACCGGACGTTATGTACAACGGATTGCCGTGGCCCGATGAAGAGTTCACGAAGGTATTTCTTCAATTCTAATCAGACTGCAAACAAACACTGCAATCCAATTAATATTTTAATTATTGTCAGGTTACCATAGAAAGGGACTTGCAAATTCGTCGTACGTTCAAAGACGTGCCGTTACTCTGGACGCTGTTGGAATTAACAGCTTGGTACAGACCGGCTTTAGCGTATTGTTCAGTTTTATTGAGAGGCATCGCAGCCACGGTTATAGCTAACTGGAGCACGGAGGAAGGTGTCCGACTCGTGAGCGTTATGGCGCTGGGTCAGTTGTTACCACCTCCTTTGGCAAGCATAAGGGACATTTTACCAGTCTTAGAGTTGCATCAGGTGCGTCCACATATTAAATTCGTAACTAAATAATAAATACTTGGAGCTATAACGAATCATTTGTAGATAAACACGATAATGAAAGAGTGCGTGTGGGCTTACATGCGCGAGAACGTGCCGTCCCCGGCTCTGTTCACGCGCAACGAGGGAGCGAACATCGCTTGGCGAGACACAGACACCTCGACTCCGAATTCCCGATTCACTGAAACGCTCCGTCTAGTTCTGTTGTCCAATATCAATGCACTGGGCCCGTTATACGCCACTCTTTTTTACAACGAGAACAAATAACTGTTTCTATAATACAGATCGATGTACATAGAACTTCCGAGAGATCGATAGATTTGTATTAAAAGTTTCAAATAAACGTTTGATACCAGTTTGAAATGCTTTCAATGCTTTTTGTAACAAACATGTCCCGGTTACTTTTATTAAATCACATCTCTGCAGAACAGCTTATCAATTAATATATTGCATAAATGTACTTCGTATTTTATTCCCTTTTAATGATGTGGATATACGTCTGAACATTGGGCTCCATCTCTCGTTCGCTATCTTGGAAGTCCGTAACAATAAATACATATCCTCAGTCACAACTTACATATTAGCTTGTAACGAAAACCTATGCACAGAGTGAAAAGTACCATCTGTATTATATAAAATAAGAATTAAGTTTACTAATATCTGGATACAACTAAATAATATACAGCGTGTAATACGATGTACAAATCGATGCACGTTACAACTTATAAATACTCTCTCCTTCGTTCGGTTCTCTGCGTTAACATTCATCCAAACAAGTAGTTCTCGACTATCAAAAGTCAACGAAAAGAAGAATATGAACGGAGGTCGGAGCTAGAAAGGGGGGGGGAAAACGATAATGAAATGATAAGATTTTCATTCCTTATAAAAGCATATTCAATTCTGAATACACATAAACGGATATCCGTTCGTTTGCTTCGTACCGTTATTCAATTAATATAGGAATGACGATATTTCTATGATGAGCGAACACTGTACGAATTAGTTTAGTTGCACGACAATGTACCCTAGGTGGGTGTCTCGTCCTGACAAAATGATCACGCGATCCTCGATCGCGTTCGAATCCTTGTGATAATCAGACTGCGGACTTTTATGCAACATGATATCAGTTTAAAATACGTGTTCGTAATAAACGTTGGATTCATTGTTTGATATTCTAAACAGTTTTATGCATAGAATCCGCGGTCTAAGGATGATCGTCGCGCTCGCACCGATTTTCAAGAGTCTCTTCACACGACTCCGTTTATCATTCGGAGCGTAAACGCTAGTAAAAAAATGTTGAAAATATTTAATTGCTTTCTTCCTATGTACACTGTGTGCTCGTTGTACGAAAGATATTACATCTTGCGGCCGCGTAAATCCAGAGCACTCGAGTTCAGGTAATGGAACGGCTCCAGATCTACGCACGAGCACTTCTATGTTTTGTTCGACCGCGTACCTCTTCGTTAAACGCGTCGCATCGGCCCTTCAAATAAAAGGCAGCGTTGTATTCTCCACGATGAACGGATGAAACTAGTCGATTACAAAAGCTGGATAGTATACCAAATCGGGCGTAAAAACGATGTTTCTCTGTTTTTGCCCGAGGATAAAGGTGTGTCACGTAACACGGATGTTTATGCATGCGATCTTCGGAAACGACAAACAAGGAGTTAGAGATGTGTGTGCGGTCTGGCTCGTGTTGTTGAAGACATTCCCGTTACTCGTCCGAGTAACCGGCATAGTATCTGACGGTGAATGGAGACTTACTTTACAATAAATTATTATTCAGTTCTTCGGAATTAAAAAACGTTCACTTTTCAAAATGTCTATCAGAAGAACGTGTGCCATTAGAAGAGCAGCGTGCTCATGCCACCCATTTCACTTTGTTCCTTGACGAAGATCTCGAAGTACTGGTATATAATTGTGACGGCGAGTAGGATACCGGTACCGGAACCGATTGCGCCAAGGAAATCGGCCAGTACAGACAAAGCACCGATGCACAGTCCGCCGAACGCCGCCGCGGTCGGGATGTATCTATTCAATTCGTGGATCATAGAATTATCCCTGTGGCCCCTCATCACCATCTGCTGCTCCTTCAACTGTTTCGCGACCTAGAAAACAATTTTCATGTCTCTCACAATTCTTAATAAACGATTGACTGAGAAATTATGGAGAGGAAATACTTACAGCTTTAGCCGAGCTACCGGAAACCTCGATCCACGCCTTCGAGAAGAAAGCGCAGGATCCAAGCATGAAGAGAATGTAAAGGATGGCGTGAATTGGATCCTGGAGGATGTGTCCCACAGATTCCGGCGGTGATAAGTAGTAACAAAGTCCCCCGACTGGGTAAGACCGCGCTGGGCCACCGCCACCGATGTCGGACCAGACTCCCAACAGATTCACGATTATGTTCCCTTGGAATTTGACAGCCAACATTTGTGAGATCACGTACAAGTTGGACACCAATGCGGATTGAAGAATGATGGGGATGTTGCTTGTATAAAACAGTTTGATGGGATAACTGCTATACTGTCCCCTGTATCGGGCGGATTTGATCGGCAAATCGACGCGGAATCCCTGCGAGAGAAATAAAAAATTATATCTTTATCCACTGTTTCTCGTATATCAATTGAAACAGTGGATTTAAATTTCAATGTACCTGGAAGTAGATCACTATAGCGAATACTAAGATCGTAGCGAGTAGGTTCATGAGATTAGGAAGATTCTGTCTGTAGAATGCGTTACGAAGCGCTCGGACTTTGTCCTGTCTTGTAGCCAGCAAGTGAAACAGCGCGATTACAGCACCTTCGAACTCCGTGCCACGTCCTGAACACAAAAAACGATGTGATGAGTCGCGTATAAAGAATACGACAAATATACACATTGTAAATAAAATGGTACCAGTGTTAACAGTAGCTGGAGAGAATGCTTTCCATACGATTGTTTCGCAAATGTTTGTAGCAATGAACAGAGAAATTCCACTTCCTAATCCGTAGCCCTTCTGAAGCAGTTCATCCAATAACAGTACGATCAAGCCAGCGACAAACAGCTGAATGATGATCAACAGGCAAACACCGGCTCCAATTTCTGTTGGATCACCATACATTCCAGTCATTACATACACGATAGCTTGGCCAACGGTAATGACCATTCCGAATACTGTAAAAAAAAAAAGCAAAGAATAAATCTCGCACTGCAAATCAAAGAAACCAAAAAAAGTAACATTGGAAGGATTTCCTTACATTTCTGAGCACCATTAAAAAGCGCTCTGTCTTTCGGAGTGTCGCCAACTTCGATTATCTTTGTACCACTTAAAAGCTGCATGATCAGACCAGACGTAACGATGGGAGATATTCCTAATTCCATAAGAGTTCCTCTATTTGATGCAAGTATAACTCTGATCCAATAGAATGGATCCGCACTGTCCGAGGACATGATACCAAACAGAGGTATCTATAAAGAAATGAAATATGCTTTAGCAAGAAGTTGCAAGGTATTTTAAAGCAGTTGGTGTAAAACCTTACCTGACAGCACACTAAGAAGATGAACAGAGTGATGGCAGTCCATAGTACTTTCTCCCGGAATTGGATCTACAAAAACATTTAAATTTCAGTTAGCAAAAGGGACAAGCAGTTGGGAATGAAACTAGATTAATAGAAACTCACTTTCCGTTTCGGTTTCTCGATTTCCGGAAGTATACTGCAAAAGGGTTTTATCACCTCCAAGAATTTGACTGAAACATACGGATGATTAATAATCCAGCGAGTGAAATATCGTTCACGTAGCTGACGGAATATCACGGATCGAGCAAGGGTCGAACAATATGTTATGGAAAATCGTGAGACGATAGGTTACGGTCACGGTTAATCGCGGCGAGTACTCAAGTAAATAGAAGATATTCGATAATTTCTGAATGGAACCAGCATACTTACATCCCATTTTGAATCCGAGGTACGATTCGAAAGGAGCACGACGATCGGACGCTTCTGACTAACGCGGGAGTCAACAATGCGGCGAGGACACTCGATTTCGGTACCACGAATCCTAGTAAACCTGGCCGCGTATACGTTCGACTGGCAAACCGTAGCGAGTCGTGGCTCCCTTCGTCGACACGTATCAATATGCTATCGTCACGTGACCTGATGATGTTGGCCGGTACGAGCTAGAATTACCCGAGTCCGACGTTAGATGATGCACGTACCAATTTTCAGTGGCATTGCAACTATCCACTTTGTCGACACTCCTTTGAACGCACAAAAAATTACAATTTCAAATGAATATGTGTAACCTTCAATAAAACGATAAATATATCATGTCATGGACACCTAACGGACTATAATTAATGGCTTGTTTTTAATTAATCACCTGTCCAATCCTTTTGTACTTAAAAACGTCGTTCTTGTACTCGTGAAAAACAAACCGTCACTATATTTATTTATGGGAGAGCGCGCGATAATTTGACAACTCACACGTGTAGTTCGTAGAATGTGTTGCGTTCCAGTAGGCGTTCTTATCGAGGAATTATAATTTCCGTTCGATGACATCGAGCAATAAAAAAATGGGAACGAATAAAAAAAGGTCGCACGGTTAAAATGTTTACTTTCCGCATGATCGATCATCAAGAAGTAGTTTCACTTTCTTTACTCGCTTCCTTGGTTCTCTTTCTTAGATTTTATATAAGAAATAATCTATTCCTTTATAATTTAATATTTCATACTATTTCGTTTTGAATTTGTAATCCTGAAACTCGAAGGATTTTAATAAATTGCCTCGTACTGATGAAAATCAATATTTACTATAAGCGAATTCGTATCCTAATTGCAGTTGTGTAAATTACTCCTATCGACGGTATCGGTGAACGTCGGTGACTATATAAAGCGCAAAGCAAGGCAACCGTCAGAATCCACTCGTCATTTTTACGTGGAGTTACTTATTCTTTCTGCAACTCGTCATCGTCGTTTCACACAGTTGCGATCATTCTTCTGTACAGAATGCGTAACATTATTTATAACATTCTACTCGTCGGATTGTGCCTTGCTTTCGTCCATGGGTAAGTGAAGGGACCTCTGGAATGCGCTTCAACTTCTTTTTTGCGAAATGAAACGCGACGCGACTTTTCTCGTCGATCTGAAAAATATAACGTTTCTTAAACACCTTTGATAATGCATGAGAATCCGCGGTTTATTAATTACAGAAAATAGTTGTACTTTAAATTTGTCTAATTAGTCGAAGAACTCGTAGACTGGAGATTAAACCGATAGTGGGCCGATTCGAGCATAGCGAAGAACCTCACTGGGATCACCAGAGCCAGAAGCTTTATTTCGTTGACATCGAGGCGCAGAAGATATGCAGGTTTGGCCCCGCGACGAAGCAGCTTGCCTGCGTTTACATACGTGAGCGAATTTATTATGAAAGTGAGATCTCAGCTTTTTAATAAATGATCTATAATCGTTGTTCAGCTAATGGGCCCGTTGGAATGGTCATCCCGGTCGCAGGAGAACCTGGGACATTAGTATTTGGCACTCGTACAGATCTTGCTAAAATTTCATGGGACGGCACGAGCAATATCACGCGAGCGGATCCTGAAATATTGACCGTCGTCGATCGCGATCGCAATGGTACTAGGTGGAATGATGGAAAAGCAGACTCTTCCGGAAGATTGTGGGCTGGTACGTTAAAGATGAGCCGTTTCTTCCACGAGGAAATGCCTATAATAATGAACGGATAAAGAATCAATTAAATCAATCAGGAACTTAATTTTTTTCTAATCACTGGAGTTAATTAAATTCTGAAGCATAATTACAGATTTCCCTATTTGTACGATCGCCTAATTAATACAGTCGTCCACTGTACATGTTTCGGTTACAGGAACAATTGGGCCAGAAGTGAACGAGGTTGTTGTACCTAATCAAGCATCCTTCTACCGTATCGGTTCCGATCTTGTACCAAAAAGAGAATTATCTCCGGTCACCAACAGTAACGGATTAGCTTGGAATCTTCAAGACGATACGCTTTACTACATTGACACGCCTACGCGCAAAGTAGCGGCATTCGATTACGAGCCCATCAATGGAACTCTCTGTACGTATCATTATAATAATCGTGTTTTAAGTTTCATCATATTTAAATCTCTTATCAATGTTAATTAACAACGTGTTTCTTGCAGCTAACAAAAGGATCGTGTTCGACCTGCAGAAGAGCAACGTTTCTGGACTTCCCGATGGCATGACCATAGACAGAAATGGAAATATTTGGGTAGCTCTGTACAACGGAGGAGGTGTAAGTATTATTCCTAACGCCCGTACTTAACAATGATTGTACTAAACATCTGTTTGATAAATAGGTGGCTAACGTCGATCCTAGTACGGGTAAAGTGATAAGAATTATCAAGCTCCCCGTTCAAAAAGTGACCAGTTGCGCTTTCGGTGGACCACTGCTGGATACATTGTTCGTTACAACGTCCAGCCGTGGTATGACCCCGGAACAGCTGAACGAGGAACCGCACGCTGGTTACGTCTTCGCTGTAAAGGGCTTAGGAGTACAAGGGCTGGTCGCAAATTCATTCAAAATGTAACGACCCTCTTTATACTGTAACCGATAATGCATTAATAAAAAAAACAATAAAAATAATTCAAATTCTTCAAATGATAATACGAACATTGTTAAATAACGTTCTAAATCTTAATTATGCTTGTTCATATCATGAATTTTTGTTTTCCGCATTGCTCGTGATATACCTCATTCATTAGTATCTGTCGAAACAGATAATTAACATGAGAAAGTACTGGTGTTGTCACAACTGTATCTACTTGTTATCTCGAGAGCTACAATAGAAAACAATACGTCATCGTTTGATTGATTTTACTAATCAATAGCCCTGGAAAATTTCTTGATACAATAGTGGGAATAATTGGCATTAATTGTGTCTTTGAATGCATAATCAAATAGCAGCATTTGTTACATCTTATCTTTCCCACTACCGTCAACAAAGTCGCTCGTCAATTTCATGAACCGTTCATCCCCGACAAACTGATGATTCATTGGATGCTAATTGCCAGTAATTATCAGTCAACCACAAAACACGTCAACGATCCTTGTTAGATAACGAGAAATCGTAAGTAGCAATTGCATATCTCAGACGCTGGTCACTGCAGACAGTGAGAAAACCAAGATCAGATTGAACGACGTGAGAGCAGACGCGTCTGGAACAATCTGGAAGACTATGGTGCGGTAGGTTGAAGATATCAAATGTATGCATAGATTGTACATTGGCATGACGAATTCATGTTGCATAAAAATCCGCAATACATGAAAATTGCTTAACTTATATGGACAGTCTTACTAAGTATCCTATCTCGATTAGGAACAATGTGTTCTCTCAAGGATGGAGGATTCCTACTTAACGTGGGATCTCTTTACAGCATCAACGCTGATCTCACGTTAAAGGAATATGTGACTTCTGTAACTATATAGCCTGGAATTCTGACAACGATACACTTTATTATATCGACTCAATCACCTATCAGGTCGTGGCGTTTAATTACAATGCTCAGGCGGGAGCTATATGTAAGAAATATACAATGCGATGAAGTGTGATAGAATGGATACAATTTTATGTACAATGAATTAATTTTTTCTAATAGCTAACAAAAGAATCGTATTTGATCTTCGAGAAAATAATGTTCCCGGATTTCCAGACGGTATGACTGTAAACACAGATGGGAATCTGTGGGTGACAATGGAGGCGGAGTAAGTGTTATTACTAGACTGCAGATTTATATGCAAAATCATTTGAAGATAATAACGTGCGTTATACATTATTTTATAAATTGCACAGTACTATCTAACATTTTCTGTACAGCTATACAAATGCATAAAATCTGCAGTCCGATTATTAATTAATTGTTACAAAATTATTGTAATTGTTAGCGATGAATATATGTATGTGCGTGTAGGTGTTGCAAATAAATCCGAAAACAAGCGAGCTGTTGCGGTATGTTAAGATAAACGGAGCTAAGGACACGACAAGCGTTGCCTTCGGTGGACCGAACTTGGAAGTTTTGTACGTAACATCCACAAATGTAAGATTAACGGAGGACGAGTTAAAGGAACAGCCGCACGCTGGCTTTCGCTGTAAAAGATTTAGGCGTCCGCGATTCTCCTGCCAATTCGTGCAAACTACCGGACGAATTAACGTAGTTTGCCCGCGGATGAAGCGAATATGTACATATGTATGTATGAATTTGTGAAAATGTGCAAATTAGAAAATTGCATTTGTAACGATATAAATAAATAAAATTAGGTCCTTACATCGTGTCTTTTCGTGTATATTTATACATGTATGCCTCCCTTTCAATGAAAAAGACTTTATAAATTATCTGTTAGAAAATGTACACGCTTCGCTAATACCTAAATCACATATAACACACCCGCACACTCATACATACGGACGCATACAATTTTTATATCTTTTTTTACATACAAAGGAAAAAGTTACTGAATGTACATAGTAGAAAAATAATATATATTTCATCAATAAGAGGAAACGCTTCCCTTGGAATTATTGTGAAATAATAATTATCATCCTGAGGGGTGACTAACTTGTGAAAAGCTGTTATCGTTAATTCACTCTCTCTCACACTCTCTCTCTCTCACTCACTCTCTCTCTCTTCCCATTTAGGTACAGTCTCTTGGATGCACGAGCGCGCTTTAAGAATCCCGCCCCGCGATTATTTCAAACACTTTAGAATTTTAGAATACTTCGGTTATTATTGTCTTTTTGCGACAATTAATCCGATTCGTATTAGAATGATTCCCTTAGGCACGAAAGTGAAAAGGCTAGCGTGATTTATATCAGTCGTTTTGGATGGAAACGAAACTGTACCGCTGCGAGGACGTTAGAAAATATAAAATATTATTTGCGATCTTGTCGTTTACGCGTCACGATTAATAAAAATCAAACAAAGGAATTAACAAGAATTGACTGAGACACAAATATCGTCCTCGTAACTCAATCGTCTAACGTTATAATCTCGACACTGTCGTGCATGGATTTCTCGTTCTTTTTCCCGACGACGCTGCTCGACTTCGCTCTAGGCAAATCGTACACAGGCTTGCATTCCGTGCTTGACGGCCTCAAAGACTCGGTCATCTTCTGCGGAACGACACTCACGCCCGATGACAACGTCTTCGCGTAATCTATAGTCGGCTTCATTTGCTGCGCCTTTTGCTGTGGTATAATTTCTAAATGCGAATGTTGTTTCAGATGAGAGAGCATTGAGAAAGCCTCCGAATTCGATTGGGAGTACGAACTGGGTAAAGAGCCGGGTACGTCCATGGTCGGTTTCGTTTTTGTCGAAGAAGTTTTCTTGTAAGCAGGATATTTTGTACTCGGACCTTTCAGCCCGGTCTGTGGATTTACAGGACTCACGGAGATTCCGCTGAGCTCCGGTGGCACGTAAGGCGGCTGAGGCATCGACGGGTTCACGGGCATCGAAGGATTCAACAAATTCGAGTAGGGCAACGTGGGCATCGTTTGCTTAGCGACCTTCGGTTTCCTCATAGGATTCTGTACGCTCTGCGTGTACGGTAGCCTCTGCGAATTCTTCTTTGATAACAGCTTGTGCTGCAACGACGTTCCAGAATGAGAAGCGGGTACGTTCATAGGTAACGACTGCTTCATGCCCATCGACGGGTTCATCGCTGCGTGAGCTGCTTGAGGAACCGTGACCGGATTAGTCGCCGGGTTCTTCAAAGGCGAGTGAGATAAATTTGGATTATGCGCGGGCTGCGGTTCGGTCAACGACTTCGAGACGCGAATTTGCGGCGCGCTTATCTGCTTCGGCGGGCTGGCTACTTTAGCATGAGTGTGGCTGACGACGGACGGCTTCAACAGAGAGATTTGTGTACTCGGTGGTTGCAGGTGAGGCTTTGACGCTTGGGAAATCTGCAGTGATTTCGGGAGTTGAATCGCCAGTGAGTCGTTCGGCGGGCTCTGCTTCGCCGGTTTGCTTTTAGGCGGTGCCGCCGTTGTGTTCACCGGAGTTATCGATATGTTGGGCATGTCTTTGGTGATAGACGCGGTGGTAGACGTCTTCGTCGCGGTAGTCTGCTGATACATAGGTGCGGTGCGCGCAGTAGACGCCGTCGAGCTGCTCAAGCTTAACAATTGTTGAACAGTTAGATTGTTTAGATTAGCACCTAAGTTGCTCATGCTTGGAGCAGCGTTCATGTTCGACGTAGAAGTGCTCATTGTAGGTACGTTGCTGATATTAGGCGCACTGCCACCGACCGTGCCGCTCAAACCACCGGCTAGACTCGACAGCGACGAAAGATTATTTTGATACTGTCTAATAATGTCCTGATAATTTCCCATCTGATTCAAGTAATTCATGGCTGACAAGGGATCCATCATACTTCCGCCTAAACCGCTGGTCAATAAAGCGGACAATAAATTCGGGTCCACTAAAGGATGCATGAAGTAGGGATTCATTAGGGAACGATTGTTCGCCACGCCCATGTAATTTGCGAAATTAGCTTTCGCGTTGAATTGATTCATCGTGTTACTGTTCTGTTGTAAAGCTTGAAGATACTTGTTCACGTTCGGCGGTCGTCCTCTCGGTCGTCCGGTCGACGTCAAAGTCTTGTACGGTTTCCGAATTTGCGAGAATTGCGGTGACGAAGAACTGGCTTGTGGCTGAGACGCGATCACCTAAGATTAAATTCGTATTAGTACGATAAAGATAAGGGAATATAATTGCAGAACGTACCGTGGGAGTGGGAGATGTAGGCTGAGGCTGTGGTTGCACATTGTCCGCGGCAGGTTTATCCAGACTGGAGAGTAATTTGTTCAAAACTTTCCGGTTGTAGTTGTACTCGTGACAATACTTCGTGGCAATGTCCAAAACGTTTCCTTCCAAATTCTGTCAAAAACGAATGATAGATTTCAATAATCGAACTTGATATCTTACGACCGTAGTAGGGATAACCATATAGTGGAAGTGAGAGAGAGGGAATCCTCTACAGGGATTTCGTATGGGATGCGTTTTTCTGGCATTCCTGGTTGTAGACTTACTTTATTACCCACATACGTCTTGTACGTGTCGACCAGCAACGAAGCGAGGGTTTGTATGGTCTGTTCCTTGCCTTGAAAACTTTTTAAAGCTTTCTGGTACACCCAGTATGTGTCGAGAAGTACCTGCGTTCTCTCGTCTGGGTTTTTGTTCGAAGGAACTTCGGAAGTACCAGTTCCCATTAATTGCACCTTTGTTCTAAGGGATTGCAAGCAGAGAGTAAGCGCTTGACGAGATAACTGCTCTCTCTCCGCATCTCGCAAATATTGTCTAAAAAGAGAATCATATAATTTGAATAATTGATTGTCGTAAACACGTAGAAAGAGGGATTTCTTTATCTAAATCATACTTGTCCTCTTCAGGAGTTTTTCCTAGTTGAACGCTCAGTTGCATTAACATTCGACCGTCGTTCGTTTCCTTGAGCACTTGCATCAACAGAGTGACGCATCGAGACATATGAAAAGCAAAACTTCCCGGCCTATCCACTTCTCTGTTCGGTATGTGCCAAACACCCTGAAACGATAAGAGCCAATTATCTCAATTCTATGATAAGAAATGATTAAATCGTTAACGTATTGAATAGCACGAGCGACAGTGATTCAGAGATTCTGTGAGTGATCGACATACGTAACCAAGTACACACACAAGTAATATTATTTCATCAACAATGAGAACGAAAGTTTATTACCCTAAGCGAATTGCTGCTATATTTTTGGGCGCGATACTGTGCGGTATTAGGTAAAATTTTTGATTCTCGCAAAGTGTAAGAAGTGTTATTCGAAAATAATTCTGCTTTTTTGGTACAGTATATATTTCATTATAAAAGTAATCGCTGTTGAAACTTTTACAAGGTCGGTCGATGGCTTGGATAAGATAATAATAGACACAGATGCCGGATCGGATGACGCGGTAGCCATACTGCTAGCTCTCAAGTCTGAGGCAACCGGACACGAAGTTATAGCGATTACTTGCAGTTATGGAAATACGGATGTGGAGAACGTAGTTAACAACGTCTTGAAGATATTGACAGTGGCCAACAGAAGCGACGTAAATATTCTGCCCTCGTTTAGATTCAAACATTACATTGCCTCATTTTATAGATACCCGTGTACAAAGGAGCGGAGAGATCGTTCATGAATGAGTACAGGTCTAACAATTACTTCGGTTCCGATGGTCTGGGGGATTTCGAATTCACCCAGGAAATCATCGCCAAGGTAGACGAAAGTAAACACGCGGCTGAAGCGCTCATCGAATTTGCGAAACGATATCCAGGTTGTTATCAGATTAGAAAAGTGTATAAACACGTTCTAATGTAATTGTTATTGTTCGCAGGTGAAATAACACTGGTGAGTCTCGGTCCATCTACAAACATCGCCACGGCAATCGCGTTGGAACCTTCATTTCTGAAGTATTTGAAGAACCACACGATATTAGGAAGTAGCGTTGCTGGGATCGGAAACATTGCACCCAACGTGGAGTTCAATTTCCAGCAAGATCCTGAGAGCAATTATATGATACTGAACAGAACCACGTCGTGCGTCTTGGTCCCTTGGGAAGTGTGCGAAGATTATCGAGTACCGCAAGATTGGAGGACGAATGTATTGGGGAAGATAAATTCAACTATCGTGGATTTTATAAATAAAGCGGAACGAATAAGTTTGGACAAGTGCGACTGGTGGAGCAGTTCAGATACAATGGCTATTGCAACAGTTCTCTGGCCGGAACTGATAACGAAATCTGTACTAGCGAACGTGCTTCCTGTGACCGACGGAATTGCAAGGGGTTCGGTACTCGTGGATTACAACGGTCTAACCGACAGACCAAAGAACGCGAGGATAGTACAGTCGTTCAATGTGACCGCTTTCCAACAATTGGTGCTAGAAAAATTTTCTTAAGTTCAAATTCTAGAACGTAAGGAGTATATTATAAAACGATTACTTACATTGAAGAAATTGGTACTTTTCCTGTCAGCAAACAGTCCTCGGAAACTCTCGGTTCGATAAAACTGACAATTGTAATTCTCCAATAAAAGATTCCTGCACTTCTCTATATTCTTGGCAGTTTTGTTATTGAAGAAGAAATGAGCCAGCCTGTAGAACGACTTGTAGTGCTCCGAGAATCTTAAGACGCATTGTTCTAGACCGGCTAAACAGTACGCTATCAAAGCGGCGACTTCCTCCTCGGTCATGTTCTCCTCCTTTTGAACAAAATCCTCCTTCTTTTTTTCACTCTCGCTCTCGGCAGTGTCGCTCTCGGCAGTGTCGCTGGAACTGTCGCTGTCCGAACTGTCGTCACTGCTGCTCGATTCGTCGCTACTGCTGGAGCTGGAGTTGTTCGTAGTCGTGGTGGTCGTCTGAGTAGTCGTCGTACTCTCTTGGGAGCCTCTTCTGCTCAAAGTCACCTCTTCCTTTCCAGAGCCAGCGAGCTTCTTCTTCTCCACGATCTTCGTCTCCTTATTGCTTATTTGCAGATCTTCGTTCTGCAACCACTTGCCCTCGAACTTCCTCGTGTCTTCGTCCTCGGGCGACGACTGCCGTGCACCTTCACTGATTTCCATCGCTTGTTTCATAAGCGCGTCCATCAGTTCCATCACGTTCTCCGTTTTTCTATCGCCCTCGAACGCGATTTTCAGAGAACTTTTCTTATCGTCGTCCACCTTCGAAGGTGGCTGCGTTCTCTCGACTTCCTTTTTCTTCTTCTTTCTCTGCGACTCGTTGCTCTCGTCACTAGACAACACTAAAATATCCTCGGTCTTCTCTTTTAGCGAGACCATGTCGCAAACTTTCGTGATCACATCGTCTATTAAAGCTACCACGTCCTGCATCAATTGCAAATGAGATACGTTACCTAGTTTGATCTTCTTTACACTGTCCTGAGTCCCCTCTGCGAAGGATCTCTTACGCGAGTCGATTTTTCCTGGCTGAATCACGGTTCCCTTGTTGTTCATCTTGTCTATGATTTCGATCTCCTCGATACTGTTCGAACGCTGGGTAACGGCGGCAGCCGCCATATTTCCTTCAATTCCGGTATCCCTACCGGTAGCCTTGTTAACAGTCACGCCTTCGCTCTTCTCGTTCATTTTCGACATGAACTTCACCAATGGTCCTTTGGCGCACTGTTCGAGGTGAAACTGGAACACTTGTCCTAATGATTTCTTCAGAGGCTTCCCCTCGTGCTGCTCGAGATACTTCAATATGCTCGCGTGAATCCGATAATGCACTTCCAGTGCCTCGACGGAAAGCTGCTGCGGAGACTTGTGACTTATCCTACGCGGATACTGCGCATTGTTGTGATACAACAACTCGCTGGCCTGCAATCAAATGAATTGGATAAGAGAGATCTAACTAAATTTTATTTTTTTCATTGAAATTATAGTCTGCAAAAATTCGCAATACCTTCGCGTAGTGCTCTAAATATATAGGAGGATCTTGATTCTTCTTCTCAGCCACTTTCCCCAGCATATACTGATACAGCCACCTTTCGTCGTGCGGCGTGGGACCGTCGATGAACAAACGAGCGCAAGATTGAAAACACTGACTCGCGAGCTCCAGCATCTCCTCTTTTCGAGTTTCCAACACCTCGAATCGTTCCATGCTCAACGTGTCCGTCTCCTGTTTCAATAAGCGCGAGCAAAACGAATGAACGATGTACGCGAACGCTCCGTACTCTGTCCAAATCACGTGATTACACGAATCCAGTTCCACGGCGTGTTGGTAACTGGACTGAGTCAACTTCGCCTTCGCCAATAGCTTATCCTCGTTTCTAAACACAGAATAAATAAATAAGTTCGTACCTCTGAATGAGAAAGAAAACAGAGAAAAGAGAGATTTTATAGATTCTTACACTGGTTTGTATTTGTTCAACCAAACTTCAATTATAGTGCCAGATGATAACGCCAGTCCAGTCCAGGAACTGTATCTACTTGGATGGAAGCACAGATCCAGTAAATAATATCGAACCGCCGCGTTCCACTTGCAATTCTTGAAATAGAAATCTGCCAGCAGGTAATAAATAGTGGACATGGAATGTGGCAGGTGCTTCTTGACCGTGGGCATGGTCTCTCGTTCGCCCATTATGTACGACATCATCTCGTCGATCACTCCGTTCGGATCGCTCTCCGGCGGTATCAACTTCATTATACGTTTAAACAGAGCTTCGGTGTCCGCGCTAATCGTCAACGTCTTAGGCGAATTATACTCCGGTATTTGTTTCGGCTTATAGAAATCGAAGAGCAGCTGCGCTCCTTCCCAAGTCACTTCCATCGCGTGCACGCCGTGCTCCTCTATGTACTTCGGCCGCAGTTTGTTCACTTTATTATAAAATCCATAGAGGCAGAAAAATATTTGTTCCAAATATTTTGAGACCTTGCTCTTGATATTACAAAACTGAGGCGACTCCAGTTTAGGGATGACCAGATTCAAAGTGAAGAACAGAAGTTTCGCTTCGTTGTAACAGCACCACGAGTGCTTCCCCATGAATTCGTGGGCGATGAACAGAATCATGATGGACGCTGGAAGACCTTCGTCCTCGTCTTCCGACTCGGAACAATTTGAGCTGTGTTTGTTCTTGTACGACGATCCAGTCTTGGCTCTCTCTTTGTCCTCTTTGTACTGTAAGATGTAATGCAACAGGATCCACGGTAGAACGGTCTCCAATGGCATTTCTATGGTGGTCTCCGACACGTCTAACTGATGGCAAACGATGTGAACCAAGTTTTGTACCAATCTCGAGAGGCGCGCGTCCGGTAAATACTTCACGACGAAAGTGCTGACTTCGATCGTGCACATTTCTAATTTCTCGAGTGCCATTAGAACGGAACTGGTCCATTTCTTTTGTTCGGCTTCGTCGGTAGCGTTCAAGTAATTCTGCCAAGACTCGTTCAGGCAAGCTTCCGCCCATACGTAACATTCCTCGTACTGTTCAAGCTGCCACAAGCTGTCTAACAACATGGACAATTGCCGTACCCTGTCCACGATATTATCCTTCACCGTCAAATGTTTGTTTCCATGCTTCGCAAACTTGAACGTGTCCTGCAGTATGTAAGCCAGCTCGGCGTATTTTTTCTCGCAGTGCAAGTTTTGTATCTCTCCCAGTTTTTGTCCCCTTTGAATAGATTTCAGTTTCTTCTCCACGATCTTAATACTGATTTGCGAATTATGCTTGCAATTAGGTAGTTTTAAATAAATACTCTGATTCTGTTTCTCTAATTCCCTCATGTGTTTCAATAACTGTAAACGTTTAATAGAAAGGAGACGAGTCAGAGAAAAACGCATTGAAGCTCACTTACAAATTCTAAATTTGAGATAACGATGTCTATGTCTCCTTGACATAAAAAGATGTTGGCTTTTAGCCACAAGACCCTCAGGAGTACGACGATATTTTCATCCTTCGAGATGTCTTCTCTGACGCTAGTAAAAATGATATGCCCTAATTCCTCGGATGACATTCCTGTGCCGAGTTTGTCTAATCTAAAATAATTGCTTAATTCAGTGGATAATATTTGAAATCAAAAAGAAATAATAGGCAACATACGTGGAAGACGATGCGATATCCGGTTTGTTAGTTAACCATCTATCTGTATGAACTTCACCGAACAACAGTGTCATTTCAGCGTCTAATTTGAAATCGTCCTCGGTTAGGTCGTCACCGAACGGCGATGGACGCGGAATATGTTCCCTGTTGAAAAGAATTACGCTGGCTTCCAAAAAATATACATTTGTATTTATATTCTACCTCATAAATGTGTACGCTTGCAAATATACGTCCGGCAATCCTTCCGGCCACTCTTGCCTCCATTTATTAGATAAGAATTCTGTATACCTCGTTATAATTATCATTAAATTACTTCTACCACTATGCTCGTTAATAAACATGTTCACATCAGCCGCCTCGGATTCTGTACCAAAGTATTGTTGCCGACTGGAACGAGACATTGCTAATGCTTTAATTACGTTAATGGTAATGTTTTAATTACGTCGGATAAATAATTACCTCGTAACGGGACTCGGCGACTTCGAACTTTCAGGACTCTTCATTTCCATCGTGTTACTATTGTTCTCCTGATTAGCAAAAAGTTGATACAAATCCATTGTGTCCATAGAATCGTCCATAGTTTTTGAATGGTCGTCCTTAGTTAATTTTACCGTGTCTGGCCTAGAATACAACTTCTCAATACTGTCGCTTACAATTAGACCGTACATTTTTTATAATTTAAAATGCGTACAACAACGTGCTGGGAAATATCCGTCTGAGAGTCTCCTCTAATTGAACATCATCTCGTTCAGCTTCTCTCCTATTCGAACTCCTCACTCTCGCTGAACGCCTCATGCTGTTACAACTCCAAGCCCATTCTTGCAGAAAGCACAGAGCGCTTCTCCTCCTCTTCTTCACCTTCTGAACTTCTTCTTTCCCTTCAGCTTTCTCATTCCCCTTTTCATTCGTTTTATCTCCCTTCTTCGAATCCTTTTCATCGTTGGATTTATTACTGTCCTTATCGCTAGCGTTATCATTCTGCGCTTCGTTCCCAACATCATCTATCATTTTATCACCGTTCTCATCCAGTTCAAAATTATTTTGATCGTCCAAATCGTTCTTAACTTGGTTCTGTTCCTCTGCAGCATCCGTGTCTGACATTCTTAAAGGATCCTCATCCTCTATTATTTGAATATCAGAGGAGTTTGATTTTTTATCATCTTCCATATCGATCTCCATCGGAGAATCACCGGCGAGCGGTCGATTGTCGTTCGACGTTTCGAAAGGAAAATTTGCTTCTTCTATCTCCATCTTCGGTGGTTCTTCATTGCCATTTTCCTTCGTTACAGCACCTTGCGATGCTTCTTGCTCAGTAATAGTATTATTGTTCTCTCTTATATCCTCATCGGTATTCATCTTTTGCGTTTCTTCGGGAATCTGAACCGATAAATTAATTCTACTGACAAAATTTAAATTATTCTCCGCAAGGTATTTGTTCATATCCAACAAACATTCTCCCAAATCTAACCAGGTGAAACTTTTTATAGGTCTCCTCAATGCTAAACCTGATAATGGCTTAGAACAGAATTCTTTTTTGCAAGTTTTCATCCACTTCTTGGCAACAGCTTCAGCTTCTGCTATTAATTTATCTCCAATGGCCGGGTCATACTCCGTGTACAAAGGAGGATCTAAATGCCAGTCCCTATTATACAATTTGTAGCAATCCTCGAGGCTTGGAATGTCCTTAAGTATCTTATCTCGGAATGCTAAGCCTTTCACATAATAAGGATCGCGTTCTAACGCTATAGAAATGTATAAAAGACAATTCATATAATCAGGAACCGCGAATAAGGCAGTTATCATGTTGTCCAAACACGGCCAGTGGTTCGCGTTGCATTTTAAACCTTGCTTGAAGGCCGAGCATGCTAATTCCAGATTACAGATTTTCATGGCCAAGCTGCCTATCCTGTACCATAGAGATACATCAGTATCGTCTAGATTTGCAGCCTCCCAATAATTCTCAATAGCTTCGTCATAATTTCTGAAAGTTGCCTGTATAGCACCAATGTTCTTGAAGCAAGAATATTTCAACGACAACATCGGCCTCGACCGTCCATCTGGTACTTCGGGCTTCTCAACTTCGTCTAATAATTCAGTTTCCAGGAGATCTTTAAAAATATTCAGTGCATCCTCCTGTTTGTTCACTTTCAATAATTCTAGAGCTCTGTTATATTCAGTAAGAGCTAACTGTTCCTGAAACAAAGACACCAATGTTTTTAACATTCCAATTAAACATATGTCAATCATAAATTCTGATTCCTTTGGAAAATCGAAAAGAACTATATACAATTTACACGTATTATACATAATACTCCAATTAACATATTTATTTGCTGTAAAAAAAATGTATCTGTCGAAATTATTCTAAATAGAGAATGATCGGTTAAATTAAATCGTAAGGGATTATCGTAAATGCATAGACATTCGTGTAATAACTCTTGTAATAAACTTTCTCGCGTTAAATTACGTAAAATAAGCCAGATTTTTGTGAATAACACGTGTTCAGGTTAAGTTTTTTAAAAATTAAAGCTCGATAATGTTGTCACGTACTTGAGCCTCTTTTGTGATCGTTGGTACATCCTCCTCCTCGCTTTCTTCGCTCGATTCTTCGTTTAACGCTGATATCTTCATCATTTTCCAGATCCTCGTGGAAAATTCGGAATTACATATGAAACATCAACAAAATTCACCGGTTTTTTTTTCTACTACCGCCACGCTTCTGCACGCTACTGACTGGCACCACCACAGTGTATTTGGCACGCTATCAAACACGTATGCACAGAGAGTATACATAGATACACAATGCAACAGTACGTGCATACATAATGTGTATACACATATGCACTATTGCATTTCTGCTATATATATACGCGCAGTAAAAGTGTTTATTCAAACACTGTTCTATTTTCAAGATTTCTATTAATAAAGGAAAAGTACGAAAAGAAAGCTACGTAATTTAAGAGGTAAAGAAAATAATAAGATAATTACCTATTGTATGAAAATTTCGCCTATTGCAATGTTGAAAATAATTTAATCTCTCGATTAATCGTAGCCTTTACAAAAAAAACGGACTAAAAGTAAAATCGTAACCGCTGGATGAACTGATATCAAAACGATAACACTATATGAGTATATTTTACAGTTCTTTCCTCAAAGGATTTGCCTTCATACAATGCTGAATTATAAGATGATTTTATATTTATTACAAGATACATATTTCATAAATATTTCTTACATTGTACATTAAACATTATTTCAACACTTTAAAAACGTGTTTACATCGAGCTTAAAACATCTTAAGAAATACATGAATAATACTATTTAAAAGCAGTCTTTGGATCATGTGAACATTATAAAACATAAATTAATATGAGGATGATACATTTTTATTGAAGTTCAACGTCTTTTCTTTTTCTCCTGTTTCCTCGGCCTATGTGGTCTCCGAGGGGTAACCTGAGGACTGTTTTCTGAACAGTCTACATCACTCGCATCGTCCTGGAATCAATTCGTCGCTTAGCACTTGTTAAATAATTAAATGAACTAAAAATTGAGTACCTTTAAAGCAGCTATACCATCGGAAGGGCCGGCTTGATAAACTACTATCGCCAATAAGCATACGACTTGAAAAATTGCACCGATGTACAAGCCGAATCTTAACAATTGCTCGAATACGGTTTCCTCTGCTGGGAGTAAAAGTCGTTTTAATTGTGCCTCAGTTTCTGCCATTTCTAAATGTCAAAGAGTATGATTCCGATGGAAAGGAACGAAATGCCGGCGAACGGAAGCTTAGTTTGTTCTTCCCATAACTGTTTCAATCGTATTTAATAGACACGACGTGTATGAATTGTCAAAGGTTCCACTCGTTGAGATGTCACGCAGATTACATTTTTATTTTTCCAAAACATATGTTACATACTTTATACAGAAATCAATAACCTAAGTAACAGAAATTCTGGAATTTTCGTGCTCTGCAAGCTTGACAAATACTGCCAACATTCTCGTCGACGTACGCGGTGAAAATTATTTGAATGTCAGTCGACTTCAAACGGAATATCGGCGCTGTCGGGATGACATTTCAAGAGAATTGAACGAAACAATCGAACGTCAATGGATCTATCGAGAAACGGTCGTTCCGAAGAGATCCTTCTCGTTTTTATTTCCTTTTTCAATCGTGCCAAGAAGACGAACGTTAAATATTCGTTTCATTTCTCTCGAAACTGGTAGAGGAGAAATCGTTCGTATATGCGACGAATGTGTACTCCATTCGCACGAGCAAATATTCGACGACGTCTTTTGCGTATGTCGGAAGTGTGATAAAAATTAGAGAATGATTTGTGTCTTGTATTTATTGAAAAATTGTTGGATCATCTTTGGGGAGTCGAAAAGGGCGGGTTGACGGCAGCGCCGGAAGTTATCTGGGTTCGAGGCTTCATTGCTTGAGAGTCCGTGGATGTGAACCTTTGTTTTGTACAGAAGAATGGCTGCCATCTTTAGTTTTCGATGGATGTTTTCCGAAGAGATCGTGAATTCTCGTATTTATTGTGGTATTTAATAACGTAATAAAATCTCGGATAGTGAAATAACGTTGTCCGCGATGTAAAGAGTGTTTTTCCGTTAATTATTTAAGCTGCCCTGGTGTCAATTCCATTAAAAAATGCTTGTGTTTACATCCAAGTTTAAAGTGAGCTTCTGTATTCCTGTCATATTAAGGTAAGCAATGGATTTTTATGGGGTTGTATCGCTCGAAACGTTCGGGAAATTACGATTACAGTGACGAGTGAGAAGAATTCAGTGAAACCGTTCCGCGGTGTAAGGATACAACGTTCCATTCGGTTCGTATTGTGAATTGGTTGTGACGTTCAAATTATCTTACGTTACGTGTTTTTTTTCACAATTTCTTTTCGAATATGTTAAATACTTTCGTTATCGACGACTTTTGTGCCAATTTCATTGACATTCGTCGCATTATCGGTCTCGAAAGCGTATTTCACTTAACCAAAAAAAAAAAATTTCGACCTCACGAAACGTTCGTTTTCGAACCTTGAGTTCGTTCTCGATTGTATTTTCCTCATTGTTTCCTCTTTTTATGCAACGAATTGAGTGTTTTAAACGATATCTGTTAGTTGCAATTTTCATTTCCGAATGGTGGTAACAATGGTTGGTAAAATGGTGAGTGAGTACAGGTCAACCACATCGTACACACACTATTCAATTTATAAAACTTACGCGATTATTTAACTCTCGCGTCTCGTTTCGACGTTAATCCTCGATCTGTGAACATTCCTCCCCAACATATGTCCAACTTCTATGTTAACAATTGTCGGAACCAGCGACAGTCGCTGAATACAGCTGCTTCATGTTTTTTACTGTTTTCTGTTACTTTCGATTTTATTCAGAATCAAGTTTCTTGCAAGCATTACTCGTTAATTAACAAATGGGACGTGTGTCACGAGGATGTGGTTGTGTACTTTCTCATCATTTTATTACGCATACGTATTGTGTCAAATAAAAGATCAAGAGCTGTGTTATAAATATACTGTAGAATGCGAACGGTAATAGGTAAATAACGACAGGATTTTTGCGATGTTTACATGTTTCTAAGGCCGGAGTGATGGGATATACAATTTTATGAAATAATTGTTAATGTAGGCGTCAATCGACGAAGGTGGACGTACGATACTGAATTTGACATAAACCGAAGGAATTTTCTGACGAAATTTAGGAATCATAAAGAAGGACGCTTCGTAGATGATCATTGCGATATTTAATTGTAACAACATGGTTACGACATCGATTTTTAAGGATCCTAAAAAGACTTAAATATTGACGAGGGACAATTTCGAGGTAAAGATTGTTATTACGTTTTAACCTAGCGAAGAAAGTTGCTGCGTTGAAGAGAACTAATTCACGGCGGGAATAGAAAAATCTGCTAGGCGGCGCTGGTCTCTTGGTCGGACATATTGCTACCGCTCTCTCTCTCTCTTTCTCTCTCCTCCTCCTCCTCTCGGCCCCTACTCTCTTGTAAGCGCGAGCGCGAGCGCGTTACACGCTATAGATACCCTTCTTCTTCTTGTACATATCTTTCGTCCCCCTCGCCTCCTCTATCGCGTTTACTTTCATCGACCCCTCTCGTTCTCCTTTTTCTTGATCCTTTCGTGATCCCTTCCAATCCTACTACTCTTGTCTCTCCTATTTTCTCTCGACACCCACCCCTCTTCCGCGAAACTCGCCGCTCTTTCCTGTCACGTTAAATTCTGCGCGCTCTTACTTCGCTTGCATCCCAAGGACCCGAAATTCGTCGATCCTCGACCATAGGTATCTCTCCCCGATGCAGTTCTTAAACTATTCGCATCGTCTCGTTAAATATTAAACCGTACGTCTTGTAGTCCTCTTCAGAAGAAGAATTTTTTACATTTCGAGAGCGTATGCTTAAGAATTGAAGTAGTGGGAGTATCGGCACTCGATTATTGGAAATATTGATCATTAAACGAATCCGCTTAAAACGGGCTGAACATTACCCGTTTGTCGAATCAAGCCACTTCTGCAGTACGTCGTGTAGAAGTGGCTCGTTGTAAAGTCAAATCTGGGGTACTTGCAGTGGGGTACGGGCGCAGATATTCGTGGGTGGTTGTCGGTAACCAAAGGCGTCGCCACCAATTTCCTTACCGCTATCGATCGATCAAAATAATTCTAAACGTTACAAAAACGTTTCTTAAACGAAAATACAATTTTGATTGGTAACTTTATATGATTTGCAACGTAAAAGTTATTTTTCAGTAAAATCCGTTTGGACTTGAATGAAAAATCCGACAGGATTCATTGGCGGTCGAGTCAATTGGACGGTAACGAGAATGAGGCGAACGTTTAAACGGTCGAGGTCGAGATTCGGAGGAGTATGCCTCTGGTGGTAGCATTCGCTGGCTACGAGGTGAAATCGTATCGACCGCAAGGGAAGTTCGCGCGCGGTGACGAGCACGCGCGACACATGCACGCTTTATTCATAACAGAATCTAAAGAAAACCCGAGTATCTATCTTTACTCTCTAATACCCAAAGTGGACCACTCTAACGAGATGACGTTAAACGTTCCTTTCCCTCGGGCATTCTCGTTAGTGGGTCTCGTATTAGTAGAACGGTACTCTTTTTTATCTTCTCAGGGATGAGAGAGAGGGAGAGAGATCTAAAATAAATTAGGTCATGGCACTGCGGATATTTGTAGAAAAATTCCTTTTATAATTTAACAATTGTTCTCGGTATTCTGTACACATTCCATCGTTCACGTTCTTCTACAGATGCATGAAATGTTTGGTACAACGTAGCTTGTATCATCGCGACTGTTCGTTTTTCCGCCCGTTAATGGAAAAAAGAGCGACGTTACCCGGATTTGCACAGGTTCGCCTGGTTCCGCCTCTCCTCCGTGACCATTGCCATTGTTCGGCTCTACTGACGTCATCGAGGAAGGTCCAATAGGACGACGTCGGTGCGTACGCTCGCGAGCTGGTGGGTGCATCGCACGTATTTGCATGACGGGGCGAATCCGTGTCATCGCCGGGGAACAGTTTAGGGTACTGCGATATCGATCAGTCGTTAACCGAACCAACCGCCTATTGTCTACGTATACTTTGCAAATTAATGGCCTCTCCGAGCTGTTCCTTCCGAGTATGCGGAGTATCTGCAAAGTATCTACGTAGCACCGCAAATATGTAGCTGCGCCGGAGGAGCAGCAGCAAGCTGACGCGTCAATCGATTCACGGGTCGAGCATCGTTCGAAACAGATGTTAGAACAAACGTAGCACGTAACGGGCTGCGCACCTGCGTGTGCGGTTAATTCCGTTTTGAAAATCGAGCCGCGCAAGATTTCGCAAGATTTACGACGCAAAGAACCGCCGATGCATTGCATTTCTTCGGGATGACATCAGAGCGTATTAATGGTAATGCCCGCGGTTACTATGGGTACGCGTAACGCGATAAACAGAGAAACGTGTACGTAGCGTTCAATTTAAAAGCAGACCGCGTACGTAATTGCGCGCGTATTTTAATTTCAATTAGATCATCACTGTAAATGGATATGAATTTTATTGGCAGTTTTTTCTCAGATCTTGTCTCGCTAATGCATTTTCTCATACGCGGAAAACTCAAGTCACCTTGTATGGACTTCCGTTTCGTTAAATGTAATCGCTAAAGCGATACGGTTGTTCCGGTCAAGTTTATCTCGTGCGTGCTCGAGAAAACGAGTCGTAAAATCGTGTTAGATATGCGAAACGATCGATACGAGAGAAAGAATTTTGAGATAATTTAATAATAGAGCGTTGGTCGTTTGGAGATCTGCAGTCTATAAAATTTAGTCCGGTTCGTGACGGGCTCGCTTCTCTAGAAAGAAAGAGGAGAGCAACAGGGAAAGAGAAAAGGAGATGCACGATTCTCGGTAACCTTGGCTGTAATAGCGGAGGTGCACAATGCTGAATCTTCGTCTCTCGTTCCCCCGTTCGGCTCCAACACTCCCACGTAACGCGTAGAAACAGCATTACCCCGCGTCGCGAATCGAACATACGCTTTGAAAGGATTCCTCTTTTCGATTCCGAGGGTACATTGAACTTAAACACCGGGATTATTGGCGAGCAGGCCTCCCAATAGGTTTAGCAAATTACCACCAGTGATCTCTCGATTCGGCTCACGCTCGCGCTGCGCTTTTCGCTCGACTTGGCGTCGTACGCTTACAAATACGTGGTTTGTGCTCGTATCGAGAGATCACTGTGTGTAGCAACGGATTCTCCCGGTGGCGTTGCATATCGACCGCCGCGACGCGAAAGTACGAAAAGGGATTGCAAAACTCTCTGCGGGTCGCGCACCAGCACAGCCTCGCGTGCCTCGTGACGACGCTCCCATTCATTTGCATGCATGATCGAGCGAAGAGAGCCACGAGACTCTCGCGGAATGGAGTGCTTGTTCTTCGCGCAACAACCATCCTCTTCGTCCGAGTGCCGTTTATATCCTTCGCCCTGCGCTCTCACCCATTTCGCATTCCTCGTACAATTTTCGATTTCCAATTTCGTTTTTATTAGATAAAAAAAGGAAATATTCAAAAT